GAAAGAGAAAATCAGCAAAAAAAGAAAAAGTTCCTCTGAATTATCAACTGAAATTTTGATTATTGACTCAGTACCCTTATAGTTAAAAGTGTATTTTTATTGCCTAGTGACTCTGTCTTGGTAGGTTTTGGATTTCTAAGAATTAGTTCATTTCATTTGTGTTATCTAGTTTGTTAGTGTACAAGTGTTAATAGACTCTCTCATAATTTTTTTATTTGTGTAGAATTGATAGTAATGTTTCCTTCTATTTCTCATTTTAGTAACTTAAAAATCTTTCGTGTTTTTTCTTAGTCTAGATAAAGGTTTATCTATTTTGTTAGTCCTTTTTTGATTTTTCTAATCTCTTTCATTTATTTATCCTCTGATCTTTTAGTTCCCTCCTTCTGCTAACTTTAAGTTTGTTCTTCTAGCTCTTTAAATAGTGAAGTTAGGTTAATTTAAGCTCTGTTTATTATTTATTTATTTATTTATTGTGTGTGTGTGTGTGTGTGTGTGTGTGTGTGTTTGGTATGGGGCACTTAACCACTGAGCCGAACCCTCAGCCCTTTTTGTATTTAGAGATAGGGCCTCATTGAGTTGCTTAGATTGTTGAGGCTGGTTTTGAACTCCTGATCCTCCTGCCTCAGCCTCTTGAGCTCTGGTTTGTTTTTTTTTTTTACTTTTTAGTTATAGGTGGACACAATATCTTTATTTTATTTTTATGTGATGCTGAGGATCGAACTTTTTTTTTTTTAATATCTATTTATTTATTTAGTTTTCAGCAGACACAACATCTTTGTATGTGGTGCTGGGGATTGAACCTGGGCCGCCTGCATGCCTGGCGAGCGCACTACCGCTTGAGCCACATCCCCAGCCCTGAGGATCAAACTTAGTGCCTGACGCAGGCTAAACTAGCGCCTAAGCTCTGTTTTTTAATATAAACATTTATAGCTGTAAATTTCCACTTTAATTCTATTTTTGTTGCATTCCGTAAGTTTTGGTATGTTTCTGTTTTCATTCATCTGCTCCCTAACTTCAGTTAAGAATTCTTCTTTGATCTGTTATTTTAATTTCCACAAATTTGTGAATTTCTTGTTTTCTTTGTTATTAATTTCTAACTTTGGTTTGTTATGGTTGGAAAAAATACTTGGGTATCTTTTAAAAGCTATTGAGCTTTTTCTTTCTTTTTTTTTTTTTTTGTGTGTGTGTGTGTGTGTGTGTTGGTACTGAGAATTGAGTTCAGAGGCACTTAACCACTGAGCTACATCCCCAGTCCCAAAATCTGGCTAAATTGCTGAGGCTGGCCTCCTAGCAATCCTTCAGTCTCTCTGAGTCTCTAGGATTAGCATGTGTACCACCACATCTGGTTAAAAGCTATTGAGATTTAATTTGTTGTTTAATATATCCTGGAGAATGTCCCAGGTGCACTTGAGAAGAATGCATATTCTTTTGTTGGGTAAGTGTTCTTCATATGTGTGTTAGAATTAGTTGATCAATTGTATTGTTCAAATACTCTTATTTCTTTACTTTTTGGTTGTCCTGTCCATTATTCTGAGTGGGACATTGAGGCATCCAGCTGTTACTGTTTCTGTCTCCAGTTCTGTCTTTTTTTCCTTCATATGCCACATTTTATTACCGAATCATCGCAGGCCCACCCCCCAAAAAGTGGGATGTGACCATTATGGGAAGCCCTTTGTTAGAGAGAGAGAGAGAGAGAACTGTGCCTGTATTACCTAAAAATAATTTATTACTGAACTGCCCTTAATGCAAGATTAGGTGTCCCAAATATTCATGAATATATGTTAATATGGTGACAATGATTATGCCATGAAATACTGTTACCATTGGGCTATCCGGTTGAAGTCCAGGTTCTTGGTGTCCTGAACAAAGAATTTGAGGAAGACACACAGAAGTAATAGCGAAACATAGATTTATTGAAAGTGAATATAGCACTCAGAATGGATTGGCCCAGTGAAGAGATGCTCAAGGACCCAACGCCTGGAAATGAGGGGCCTTATATGCGAAACTGTGGAGCAATCTCTTCCCTTTACTGACCTGATAGAAGATGATCTTCCCCTATTTGTTCTCATTGGTTACCTTATGATCCCTGATTAGAATATTTTCCAATTTTACCCCCATTGGTTACTTCAGAAAACCTAATTAGAATCCTGCCTACTGTATCCCCATTGGTAATTTTAAAATTGCAACCTGTGGCGGAAGTTGTCGTGGTTCATTGTAACGAGTGACTGGACTCTGCTCCCTCCCTTGAGCCCCAGCTGCTTCTTTCTTATATTTTGTGTCTTTCATCTTGGTGTCTTTAAACTCTAGCCTAACAGTATGGTGTTTTTGTTGTATGTTATTGCTTGTGTGTAAATGTTTATTGTTGTGAAATTTTCTTTCTTTATATATTGGACATCATATATTGTATTAATATATTTTGGTCTCTTACGACCTTTTTTGATTGAAAGTTGTTTAGTATAGAAAGTTGGTAGGCTTTTATAGGAATATATTAGGCTTTATGGGCCACATAGGATCTATATTGCCTCTTTTTCTTTGTATGATATTGTATGGCATTTTTAAAATGTTAACATTTTCAGTTCTAGGATTATCCAGAATAAATTTTTAAGTAGGTTACTAGTCACTGCTTTATCTTTAAAAGAAGGTTTTGTGTGTGTGTGTGTGTGTGTGTGTGTGTGTGTGTGTTGTAATGAATTTGAAGTTCATTCTTCTATGGTTGATGTTTTTATCTTGGTCAAGCAATCTCAATGTTAGATCATGAAATGTATGTATATCCTAAAAGCATTATTGTTTTGCCTTCACATTTACATCTGTAATCCTTCTACTATACTATATAGAAGTACATTTTAAGTTTTTCCTCAGAGGGTACTCTGTAAGCACTGTTTAAAGTGACCATTCTGCTCTGTCATAATTGAGAATCATGTGACCTTCTATACTTGGTTTCTGGGTTTTCTCTCTCGTATGTTTTTCTATCCATATATCAATTATTATCTTAATTTCTGTAGATTTTATAATACATCTTAGTATCTGGTGGAGTAAGGTTTACCACCTTAGTGTTTTATAATCGTGGCTGTTTTTGGCAATTGGAATTCTTTGTGAAGTTTATAATTCGTAATTTTATAACTCAAGTTCTATAACCCCCCACGTGTATATTTAGAATTTGATTGGAATTAAATCTTGAGTGTGGGTGAAAATGGATGGTTTTACAGTAATGAGTCTGCTAGTCCATTTAGCTTCTATTTATTGCTATTTTTAAATTTCCGAAGTGTCTATGTGGAGATCATACATGTTTGTGTTATTCCTAAGTACACTTTTAAAAAAATATTTTTTAGTTGTAGTTGGACACAATCGCTTTATTTATTTATTTTTATATGGTGCTGAGGATCGAACTCAGTGCCTCAAATGCTAGGTGAGCGCTCTAACGTTGAGCCACAACCCCAGCCCCACACTTTTATTTTTTTGATGCCATTGTAATATGGTTTTTTAGGTTGCTTTTCTTTTTTAAAGTGTTTATTTGCAGAGATGATGCTATTAATGGTATGTTATAACCTATAAGAATAACTGGAAAGTCCATTGTTAGTTATCTTTCACTGAGTGCTAAATCTGCTTTTATTTGATCATTATTATAACTGTTGGTTACAACCTTTACATTTTCAGTTGAAGTACCTTCTAAATATTTGGTGATAAAGGGTCATAAGGTCAGTTATAGCCCTTGTGACTTCTATTTCATCTGCTTCCCCTCCCCACATATCCTGGTTAAGCCATGTTCTTTTGAAGTTTTATTTTAATAAGTTCTCACCTTTAACTAGTCCTGTATTCTCATCTGTTATCTACCTTCAACTCCCTCATTTTGGGATTCTTGCTTTTTGTGTATGGTTTGTGCTTGTTTAATTTACTGTATTCTCTAAATATGGATGGTTAGAAATAGAAAATAAATTCTCACAACACTCTATAAAAGATTTTAATTGGATGTATAACTTAATTACAGTGTAATTTTTTTTAATCTTTCAGAAGACATTATGACTTTGACTTAGTTTGTAATGCTGCTTGACTGAAAGTGGCATTACAAACTAAGTCAAAGTCATAGTTTTGTTTTGTTTTGTGGTGCTGGGGATTGAATCCAGGGCCTTGTGCATGGGAGGCAAGCATTCTACCAACTGAGCTATATCCTCAGCCCCAGTAACTACTTCTTAAGCAAAAGTTTCTTTCAGCTTTTTCTACTAGTAATCATAGATTACTTTATGAGACCTGAAAATGGAAGTCACATAAAGAACGTGATTCATTTTGTAAAAACGTCTATATAGCAAAAAAGTTCTGTCAAAATCTTTCTGGAAACATGTATTTTACCTTTTGTCCATAGCTTAAGAGACAGTAAGTGCTAATCATGCCAATCTATTTTTTTTTTTTTTTTTTTTTAGGATCTTAGACTACGGGGTTCTGAATCTTTACCATTCTTTTTAGACCTTTCCTTTTATTTGGATGCTTGAAATCAATACATCCTAACTTTATGTGTTAAGTAAACTTCTACCTGAATTCATTTGCTTTGATTCCATGTTCAGTGAAATTTAATTTTTTTTGACAAATATAATGATTGTTTGGCTAAGTATCTTTCTTATATGAACAAACACACCTTGTGAAAGTTGGTTTTGTTGTGATATATTCATAATGGTGAATATTCCTATATGATGCCAGTTTCTTTAAACATTATTCTTTAGTGTAGAGTCAGATATGGTGAAAAGGGCAAGAAGAAGGTAAAGAGGTGATTTCCTTTGAAGAATGTGTAAAGATGAAATATTATTATTAATTAATATTAATAGTAATAACCCTAAAAGAATATAAGTAAATAACTAATTTATAGTTGTCTTTACTTTTGAGGTGATTGTGTTATCTGACAAAGTAAAGATGAATTTTAAATCTTGGTGTCATGAGTAAGAATGTACTTGCACTTGTTTTCCCTTTTTTAGTTCCCCATGTATGCTTAAGTACATCTTTTATTTTTTTAGGCACGGATAGCATTTTTACAAGGAGAAAGAAAAGGTCAAGAGAATTTGAAGAAGGATTTAGTAAGAAGAATAAAGATGTTAGAGTATGCATTAAAACAAGAAAGGTATGTGTGCCTCACTTCCTTGTATGAATAAAGTAAACATGTTATTCTCATGTATACTGTTGAAGAATACATTTGAAAGCTTTTTGAAAGGTTTTAAGCTTTGCCCAAATACAAGATGACATTTTTATTTGATTCATATGAGGAAAAAGAAAAACATTAAAATAGTTAAATTGAAGTAATATTTTTTAAAGACCAGGAAAAATTTATCTTTTTTCACGTGGATGTATTTGTTACTTTTTGTTATCTTTAAAATAGTGTTCTTTGGAAATAAACTTTTAAGACAACATTCATAGTAGGTTTTGTTATTGGAGTAATATATAGCAGAGTCACCTGTAGAAAAGGAAATAATTTTTCTTTTACCAATTTATTATTAAATTTTCAGGGCAAAATATCATAAATTAAAGTATGGCACAGAACTGAACCAAGGTGATTTGAAAATGCCAACCTTTGAATCAGGTAAACTTAATTCTTCTTATTTCTTTTTTTATTAAGCTTGTTTTTAAATAGCAGACATGTTTTTTACATTCATTTTGCTTTGATGATTGACTATTGTGAATTGTCTAAAATTGGGAGAAAATATTAAAAGAATAAAAATCAGTAGTTTTGATCTACATCTTAATCCTGAGGTTACTTGTTCTGTTTTCTGTGGATTGAAAACCTGTGTGAAACTGTAAATGCATTTTGGTAGTAGTTAGAACTGAAAAGGTACCAACGTGTTCATTTTCTATCTATAGGCAATTTTTCCCCATTGTATGTGAGCTTATGTTTCTGTTGTTATTTAAAAAGCCTTTTTTTATGAATGGAAATTGAGAAATCATGCTGAGTGAAATAAGCAAGCCAGACTCAGAAAATCAAAGATCTAATGTTTTCTCTAATATGTGGAAGCAAAATAAGGGGCAGGGTTGCAAGGCAGGGGCAAATATCCTAAATATATAGGGAAATCAGTGGAGATGGAGAGGGAGGGAAGCAGGATGGGAAAGGGGAAGAAATGAGGAATGAATTTATCAAAAATCAATTTATGTGCATCTATAAATATACCACAGGGAATTTCACCTTTATGTATATGTAGAAAGCACCAATCAAAAATAAAGAAAGAGAGAGACTTCTGACAGTAGGGTTGACAGGAAGGCTATATGATTACTCGGAATGTAAAAGCAAAGTCTACCATGTAGTCTGTCCCTGTCTTTATCTGTAAAATGAAGTTTCACAAGAACAGGTACCTGCCTGGCTCAAAGCCAGCTTAGCTTCTGTTGAGAGCTATAGACCCTTTATTGTTTAAGCCAGTTTGAGCTTTATTCTTTTATTTACAGTCAGCGCTATCCTAACTGATAACCAGGCACAGTCTGATAAACTAATAAAGAAGTCTAAAATAATAATAATAAAATAAATAAATAAAGGAGTAAAAGGAAGATCAGTACAGTAGAGGAAAGAGAATAGGGGGAGGGATAAAGTGGGGAATGAGGACTGAAATGCAGTAAATCAAATTCCCTGCATATATGATTTTGTCAAACTGAACCCAACTTCTCATTAAAAGAAAGAAAGAAAGAAAAGAACATCTTGGGGGACAGGATATTCTTTTCTTTCTTTTTTTCCCCCCCCAAAGGTGCTTAACTATTGAGCCACAACATCAATCCTTTTTAAATTTCATTTTGAGATAGGCCCTTACTAAGTTGCTTTGGGCCTTGCTAAATTGGTGAAGCCATCCTTGAACTCTTGTGATCCTCCTCAGCCTGGGATTACAGGCATGTACCACCACGCCCAGCAGTATTTTTTTTTTTTTTTGTTAGGCCAATTTTCTTCTCCTGTGGTGGTAATGTGTGATTTAAAAAATAAACCAGGGGCTGGGGTTGTGGCTCAGTAGAAGAGTGCTCACCTAGCATACGTGAGGCACTGGGTTCGATCCTCAGCACCACATAAAAACGAAATAAAGATATTTAAAAAAAATAAAATAAACCAAATGTTATAAATAGAAAGGTAGATGGGGGGCTATTAGATTGGAGTAATTATTTCTACAAATCAGGAATTGCTTGTGTATGAGGGAAGAATGAGACGATACTAACAGAGAATGTTAGGGTTAGAGAAGTAATGCCTGCAGAGTATATTTAGACTCTGAGAAGTCTAGGAGCCTAATAACCATGAGCCATTCTAATAGTTCTTAACAGTAAGTGTGGGGATTGGTTTTGCAAGCTCTTCTCTTCTTCACAGTGTCTTTATTTTAAAAATGGGAATTTATGGGAAAACATTTCTATAATGTTAATATCAAATAGTTAAATTTCACTCTACAGATACTTGAGAGCTTAATTCACTTGAAATTACACTTAGGTATTAAACTAACTTTCTTGCTTGCTTCCTTTTCCTCTTTCTTGGCTGAGAATTGAACCCAGGATATCACTCTAGTTAAACTTGAAAAATGAATATGCTTTGTTATCTAAGATTAAAATGTGGCTCTTTACCTATTGTAAAAACTATTCTCTGGTTTAATTTTTAGTTCTAAAAGTGAAATTGGCTAGAAGAAGTCTTGTGATACAGACTTAAGGTCTATTGATACAAACTCAAAATTCTGTTATTCATTATTTTATATGTACTCAGTATCTTGTCTATTGATTTTGAATAGCTTATGTAATACAGCTTTTTTTTTCCCAAAGGCATTTAATGAAGTTGAATTCTCATTGTTTAAAAAAAAATTCCTTATAACATATCGTCTCAAAGCTGGAGCCTTTGATTTTTGATCCTCATAGTAATAAAGTATACCTGGATTTTCTAGTTTTAAAATCATTACCATAAGTAATTGAGTGACACATAGTAATCATACTTTTGATTTTTTTCAGATCCTTTATAGGACTTTATCCTTAAGAAAATGTGGCAATATTTTTGAAAGTTAATAATGTGTGTAAAACTTTTTTTCTTAATATTTAGAAGAAACCAAAGACACAGAGGCTCCCTCAGCACCTCAGAATAGCCAGTTAACATGGAAGCAAGGCAGACAGCTGTTAAGACAGTGAGTAATGGTTTATTTTCAGTTCTCTTTAAGGAACTAGACATGAAAGTGCTTACACTGAGTCTGTTTACAAGTAAAAATTATTTAATTGTAGTGGAACAGTGTGTATGTTTTTCATATTGGTTCTTTGTTGTTTTGTAGATACTTTGAAATTTTTAAAGTTTGTTTCCTTCAAGTTTTAGGATGTTGTTGATTTCTTATTGCAGGGTAGAATGTCTAAAAGACTGGGTGACTTAAAGTTCAGAACAAAAACAATATAGAGTTCATATTTACAGAATCCCTCTAACCCTTTCACTACAAATTTCACATATTTGGTTTTTCTTTAGAGTCAGGATATGACTGGTTTAGAGAAGGAGTTTAGCTGGTTAACTGAATCTTTTCAGAAGTGGCTTGCCAAATCATCTTTAGAACAATTTTTGAGGAAACTTTTTCATGTTTTAATTCTTTGCGATGTTGGAATTATCTGTGGCAAATCCTATTTATTATCTCTTATCTAGTTTTTCTTTTTTTTTTTTTTTTAAGAGAGAGAATTTTTTAATATTTATTTTTTGGTTTTCGGTGGACACAACATCTTTATTCTATTTTTATGTGGTGCTGAGGATCGAACCCAGCGCCCCGCACATGCCAGGTGAGCACGCTACCACTTGAGCCATATCCCCAGCCCAGTTTTTCTTTTTTTTATATTTTGAAAACTGATACTTTCGCCCTGCTTTTATAGTTACTGAACTCTTTTGGTTCTGGACATCTATGCCTTCTTCTTATTAACCCTTTGAAGTGTTGTCAGATCCCAGACTACTCTACTGCTTCATGATCTGTATAGTCATTAAGTATTCTACCTGTCTCACTGTGGTTGCCATGTTATTTGCTTTATGATATTACCTTAATGATTAAGTCCTTTACTATTTCACTTCCCTTTTTATCTCTTCTGTCTGTGGTTGCTTTTTTTTAATATTTGTTTTTTAGTTATAGGTGGCCACAATATCTTTATTTCATTTTTATTGGTGCTGAGGTTTGAACCCAGTGCCTCACGTGTGCTAGGCGAGTACTCTACCACTGAACCACAACCCCAGCCCCTGTGGTTGCTTTATTTCTATTTCCTTAGCTCTAGCTTAGACCTCATGATCCATCACCAACATGGTACTAGTAGTACCATTTTGCTGCCTACTGATCACCCCTTCCTCACCATTTTATTATACCTACCTTAAAACCTCACCCTAGTTCACTTTCTATCTGCTTGTTCTCAAGGGTAGTTTATTTCCAAGGTCTTCCTTCCTGTTCATTTCTTAGCTTCAGAAGAGTGTCAAAATGGAAAACAGATTAAACAGCTATCACAGCATATTCAAGAGTCTTTTGTTGTTGTTCATACTTAATTGTCTTGGAAGCAATTGACATTACTCCTTTTTGAAACTTTTAGTTTTGCTCCTGTGACATCACTCTCTCCTATCATTTGTCCCCCCTCTCATTTTTCAAGTATTTTAATTTTCCTTTGATATTTTCTTACTTTTCTAGCACTTGAGATTTCTATGGGTTTGGGCAGATTTTCTTTTCTTACTTATGCTTATTCTTTGGGTGATTTCAGTTAAATCCATAGCTTTAAAATACCATCAAAGACTAATGACCCAAATATGTATAGCCAGTTCAAGCTTTTCTGAGCTTTTTTTCTTGGTGTGGTTGAATGAACCCATTGTGCATTCTTCTGAGCTATGGATCTATGTTCCTAATAAATTTTGTCATTTGATTTTTTTTTTTTTTAATGGATACCTTATAAGCCAGATTCTGAATCTGTATTCTCTGTTTCATTGAATGGAACCATCAGCCAGTCAGAAACCTGAAAATCTTTCATTTTACTGGCATGTTTATTTGTGAATTGAGTCATGAAGATTAGATCTTATTTTTCTCATGTTTATTCTCCTCGGTTTTTAGTTCATGCTTTGTTGGTGACCTAACCAATCTCCATTTGTCACAACAAGTCATTTAAAACTCATTATCTATGTGTCATGATCTGTTCCTTTCTTCTTTTCAGTCTAAGTTAAATATCCTGGTTTAATAAGAGAAAGTTCGAAAAACCACACAACTAGAGAAATACTACGAAATTTTATATACTAGAAGGAAAATGAGCCTGTCCATCAATCTCTAGTTATGATCCCTAGGTTTAAACTGTCACTCTTTGAAGGTTCAGTGTCACTTATTCTTTATTACTTCTTGGACATTAAAAATATTTACATTCACATGCATGTACACATTTCATCAACTGCTAAAAGCTTTTTAAGGCACTAGGACTTTTTAGGTTTCAGTATAATTGGCCCTTAATCAATGTTGGCCATGCCATGAGTTTTCTTATTTACATTTTGGTTTGTAGTTGGCTTAGTTCTCTTACAGATGAACTAAAACTGTTTATAGAGAAGAAAGATGTTGAAACAAAGAGTATATATATAGAATTATGGGTTTTTCTCAAAATTATTTGATAGGATTTTAAGATTGGCAGCTGTTAGTGTTTGGGATTTAATATTTTTAATTTTTAATTCTCTTATAGGTACCTTCAGGAAGTAGGTTACACAGATACAATATTAGATGTACGGTCTCAGCGGGTAAGGTCATTACTTGGACTCTCTAATTCAGAACCAAATGGATCAGTAGAAACAAAGAACTTAGAACAAATCCTGAATGGTGGTGAATCTCCGAAGCAAAAAGGACAAGAAATCAAAAGGTATGATTTACACTGTAGCCTACCATTGTTTAATTGGTACTATAAATTTCTTTAGCTCCTTGTTATTAAACTATTAACAGTTTTTAAAGCACATGGAGTTCAGATACAAAAATACCCCAGCCCACCCCAAAATGGTACCATGGGCAAGTAAATTTTGTACTTGGGTGCTTTTAAAGTTTGTCTTTGTTAAAGTTTGTGCCAAGAGAATGACTCCGGTTTGGAAATAGGTACGGAATTAAAATGCAGATTCGAGATTAATTTCATGAAGTTCAGAGCTATTTTAACATCCTGATTTTAAGTGTCTGCTAGAGTATTTAAATTGTAGTGTTACTCTTCCACTAGAATGAGCAATGGTTATTTAGATAGTAGTGTGAAAGAAAAAAAGACTATATTTTGTTTGAACTCAGAAAACTACCATATACATGTTTTTTAAAGAAAAATACCTTTGTTGAGATAATTCATGTACTATACAATTCACACATTGAAGGAATGTAACTTAATAGTTTTAGACTATTCAAGAGTTGTTCAATCTAAGTTTAGAACATTTTCATCACCCTAAAAACAAAACCTGTATCTATTAATTGTCACTTCCATTCTCCCTTACCCTCCATTGTAGACAAATAGTCTGCTTATTATTTCTTTAGATTTGGATGTTCTGGATATTTCATACAAACTGTCTTTTGTGAATCATTTATAAGCATAATATTTTCAAAGTTCATCCATGTATAGCATGCACCAGTACTTTATTCCTTTTTATTGCTGAATAGCATTTCATTTTGTGGATGATAATAGCATGTTTTGTTTTATGTATTATCCAGTTGAAGGGCATGTGGATTGTTTTCACATTGGGAAATGCTGAATAACTTTGAGGAACTGCCAAACTTTTCCAGAGTGGCTGCACTATTTTACATTCATATCAGCAGTGCTATAAAGGATTTGGTTCTTATTGTCTGTCTACCAGATATGCTTTTGATTTATAGAAACTTCATCAATGCAAGAAGTCAAGCAGTGAAATGTCTTTCATTTTTTACCATGTTATTCTGAGTAACATAGGTGAAAACATCGAAAAAAGAGAGAGAATAGAATAATATTTTTAAAGTGTCAAATACCAAATTAGTTGATTTAGAACTTAGAAATTGAGGGGCTGGGGATGTGGCTCAAGCGGTAGTGCACTCGCCTGGCATGTGTGCGGCCCGGGTTCGATCCTCAGCACCACATACAAACAAAGATGTTGTGTCCGCCGAAAACTAAAATAAATATTAAAAAATTCTTTCTAAAAAAAAAAAGAACTTAGAAATTGAGACTAGGTTGTGGTAAGTGGTAGAGCGCTCACCTAACATGTGTGAGGCACTGGGTTCAATGCTCAGCACCACATTAAAATAAATAAAATAAAGGTATTGTGTCCATCTACAACTTAGAAAAAATAAAAAGAACTTAGAAATTAATAATATCCACAGTTTATAAGCTAATGTTATTTTATACCCTTAATGTATTTTGATGACATATAATTGTCTAAAAAGTGTTCTATAAACTTGGTAATTCAACTCACACAAGCTTTTTTTTTTGGTTGTGCTGGGTTGAACCCAGGGTCTTGTGCATGCAAGACAAGCACTCTACCAACTGAGCTATATCTCCAGCCCCTAGCGCAAGCTTTTTTTTTTTTAATATTTTTATTAATTATTGATGGACCTTTATTTATTTATATGTGGTGCTGAGAATCAGACCCAGAGCCTCTCTCATGCTAGGCAAGCGCTCTACCACTGAGCCACAACCTCAACCCCCTAACACAAGCTTTTGATTTAGGGTTTTTACTTCTGAGAAATAGGCTCTTTAATAAAGTCAATTCGATATCGTATAGAGCTTATATTTTCTTTACTCTGATTTCAGGAAGCATTAAGTATTTTGTAGCATTAGAGAAAAAGTATCACCATGAATTTTCAACCACTGGTTAGTCTGTACAGCTAACCATACTAAGTAGTTCATAGAATTTATCAATATTTTAGACTAATGAAGTTTGCTGTAGCATACCTGAGTCTGAAATCTGAAGTAAAGGTCCATGACAGACTATACTGTTTTTCCTAAAACTTCTTGCTTTTTCAAGATAATGACTTCATAGTAGTTTTTATGGGGGTGGGAGGAAACAGGCAAAAGCCATATACTACAAGCTCTGACTTCTTAACAAATCTTTTAATTGTACATTATAGTATTGTTGGCACAGCATTATGTACAGTAGATTTAGAACTTCTCATCTTTGAATCTCTACACATTGAACAAATCCTCATTTCCCCCTCCCTCCAGATCATGGCAGCCACCATTCTACTAAGTTATTAATGGGCTATTGAAAACTCCTAGGAATAAGAAAAGGGTATAACACGTGTATAGAGATTTCAGCAAAATAGTATTTTATCACGTTCTTATTTATAATAGGAAAAAAATCAGAAGCAAACTTACTATCCAGTAGTAAAGAATGATAAATTTTAGACTCATCATATTAGGGGCAGTATGCCTAATGGTTAAGAGTGTGAATTCTGAAGATAGACTGGATTTGAAACCTAACTTTATACCACTTACTAACTTCGACTTTGGGCACAGGACCTTATATTTCCACTTTTGCAAAATGGGGATCATAGGATTGATGTGAGAAAGAAATGAATTAATGTAAGACAATTATAACAGTGCCTGGTATGTAGTAAACATTATGTGTTTGATCTTATGGAGTATTATGTATCCAAGTGAAATGTTAATCCCCCTAAGAGTAGTGTTTACTAGATTCTACATAGTCATCATCACAGTTCTGTTTCTTCCTTTTTTTTTTTTTTTTTTTAAATTTTTTTTTATACCTTAATTTTATTTATTTTTATGTGGTGCTGAGGATTGAACCCAGGGCCTCACATGTGTTAGGCAAGTGCTTTCTGCCACTGAGCCACAACCCCAGCCTGTGTTCTGTTTCTTAATTTGTGGTAGTAGGATGTTTTGGGTGTATTATAAAATATCTACTTAAGTTGATTCAGTTCTTATGTAGATCTTGTAAGTGAGAAAAACTGTGCAATGTCTAAATAATGGTCTGATTTATCTTTGAATCTCCCGCTATCATTCCTTTTCCTTTTGTACTCTGTTTATAATCCCAGGGCCAAAATTTATAGCCTTCCTCTAGAAAGTACACTGATTCTTTTTAATCTTTTTACCGTCTAGCCTTTCTTTTGACCTCATTTTATTTTCCCTTCATCTTGATATATTAATTTTTTATTCTATTATTTGCTTTTTTAGGATGAGAGAGGTACTGAATTGTTGACAAAGAAAATAAATTTGTAATACAGACTTCCATTTAAACATGGACATCAAAGGCATTTGCTTTCCAAAAGTTCTGCACAAATGTTTGTAAAGGACTTAGTTCTGTGAAGGGCTTAAAATGAATCAACATAATAGAACAAAAAAATTGGCTATAGCTAGGCACAGTGGCACATGCCTATAATCCCAGCAATTTGGGAGGCAGGAAGACTGCCAAATTCAAGGCCAGCCTTGGCAACATAGTAAGATCTGCCTCAAAGGAAAAAATAGCCCTTGCCTAGTATTTGTGAGGCTACATTTGTGGGCTCAATCTCCAGTACCACCAGGAGAAAAAAAAAAGAGAAAAAAAAATAAAGATACCAAGGGGGTGGGTGCAGGGGACAGGGTTTGGGAGTTCAGTGGTAGAATGCTTGCCCAGTGTATACAAGGTCTTGGGTTTGATTCTCAACACTGGAAACAGAAAAAGAAGAAACAAACAAAAAAGCGGGCATTTAAAATAGGAACCAAAAAGAAATATTGGAATCAACCTTTATGCCTTTGGTTTCATCTTTTTCCTTTCCCACAGGCCTACTGGTGATGTTCTTGAGACATTCAATTTCTTAGAAAATGCTGATGACAGTGATGAAGAAGAGGAAAATGACATGATTGAAGGCATCCCAGAAGGAAAAGATAAACATCGGATGAATAAACACAAAGTAGGAAATCAGTTTTATATTCTTATTAGCTTTAGTATTTGAATAGTAATTTGAATAATAATTTTTTAGATAAGTTCCATTGGGAATGATTGATCATTGTTTATTGCATGGCACCTCAAAGTTTTATATATTTTCAATTCTTACTGAATTATGCTTATATAATGAGAATTATCATTTGCTGTATTGTTCATTAAACAGGCATGAAGAGGTCTGTTTTTATAGGACTAGTTTAGTGGGTTTGTATTTTAGTCTTTTTTTTTTTTTTAAGTTGTAGTTGGACACATACCTTTATTTTATTTATTTTTAATTTTTATGTGGTGTTGAGGATTGAACCTAGTGCCTCACATGTTTGAGGCAAGTGCTCTACCACTGAGCTACAACCCTAGCCCCTAGTCCAGTGGTTTTGAAACTCTTTTAAAGTTAACATCCATGGGCTGGGACTGGGGCTTAGTGGTAGTACACTTGGGCTGGGACTGGGGCTCAGTGGTAGTGCACTTGCTGGCATGTGTGAAGCACTGGGTTCGATTCTCAGCGCCACATATAAATAAATAATAAAGATCTATCAGCAGCTTAAAAAATATACATGTATTTTAAAAAAAAAATGTTAACAACCTTGCCACTCTGGCCACAATTGAAAAATCACTGCTGAAATCTTCTCTTCATGTGTAGTACACAGGTGATAAAATTACCTGAAGCTGCCATGGGTATATTCCCACCCTGGGTAAGGGAATAATGTATGGACTGTAAATATGTGTCAACATTCTTATTCTTTGATAAGGATAAATAAAACTTTGCTCATAACCTAACAAATAGATTTATTTTATTTTAGTGGTCATGGGATTGGCTACAGGAGCAAAAGTGGAGATCATCCATTTGTGAATTACCAGAATAGTGTTCAGTATTTCACAGATGTGAAAAAAGTTGTGAATAAATTTAGGTGTGGTACATTGGGATTTTTTAGTAATATAGAAAAAATGACAATGTTTCTCAAAAGCTTCTAGTCTACAATGGCAGGTTTCAATTCTTACATATCCCACATGTATAATATATACTTTTAGAGACACAGAGATTTTTTATTCTTTCCTACTCTTTTTGTTCTGGGAGGTAGGATGCTAATATCATACCATAAACTTAACATTAGTTATTAAGCTACATAGATCATGCATGCAATTTAATTCAAGTATATGAGCTCAATTCAAGATAAGCTGTCAGAATGCGAGTGAATGGTTCTTTAATGGGAGCACCGAGAGTCTACTATAATTAAAGAAGTTAACTCTTGATGAATAGCACTTTAACCATTTTTTATATCACAGTATTTGAATCACATCTTACAAATGGCTTGGCATAGCACTGTTGAACCATTTATCTAAGATATAATTTGAGACTTATGAGTTACATAGAAAGTCTAAAAATTTGGATCCAAAATAATTTAAAAATGGGTGTGAAAACATGGTTATATGAAACACTAAAAGATCCTTTTAAAATTTAGGATTAAAAATAATTCTTGGTTTATATCCTGTTTATAGATAGGTAATGAAGGCTTAGCTGCAGACCTAACTGATGATCCTGATACAGAGGAAGCACTGAAAGAATTTGATTTTTTAGTGACTGCTGAAGATGGTGAAGGAGCTGGAGAAGCACGGAGTTCAGGGGATGGCACTGAATGGGGTAAGGTGATAAAGAAATATGGGGGTGGGAGGAAATCTCTATCATTTAAAGATAGATTATTATTATGTGGAATTTTTGTATCTGACGGTATGGTGGAAGGTAAACAGAGAGCAAGGAGAAGTGGTATTGAATAATTACAGGGTATTTTGTACCAGTTTATTTAGATTTGGTGACTAAACTTTCATATTTTACGTTTATCTTGATTTAAAGTTGAAATGTATTATTGATTTGGAAATCTCTTTCCTCATAGTTTTTTTTTTTTTAATAAGCATTACTCATTGTTAAACATTCCATTATTTAATTTGATTAGTCTAGATTTAAGAGGACACAAGTCTGAGTAAGTAGGGTATTACCTGACTTATTGATAGGCAGGAATACAGCTCTACAATGAGCAAGATTTAATGAAGACATTAAACTTTTTCGCATGTAATAGTCAGTGTGCAAATGTTAAGGCCTCAGTTTTGGAAGTCATACATAATGCTAATAATAATTCAGCCAAAACCAAAAGAGAAAACAGTCTGTCTGTACAGGGCTAAAAACTCTATTTGGTAGTAAAATAAAAGTCTAAAAAATATTTTAAGGCAATAGATTATGTCCAGTGTGTTTTCCCTGTTAAAAATGTTCATTCAATCATTGTTGAATATTGACATGTTGTCTGGTAGGGGTGGAACTCAAAAGTGTTTATAGAGCTTTATTGGAGAAGATTATGTTAATACATCAAAGTTTTGCTTTATTACTATCAAGAGCAGTTATCACCAAATTGTTTAAAACTACTTTGGTGATAGAAATCATAACTTGGAGCTTTAAAAAAATTCCTCATTTGTGTATTGAATCTGAAGATTGCTAATAGCAAAAGAGAAAAACCTTCTATTAAGATAATATTTATTGACTTTCTTGATATAAAAATTGATTACTTAAAAGATTTCAATTTTTTTATTAAGGTTTCTCTTTTTTCTTTTTAAACTATCTTTCTCTTTTTTAAAAAAAATCTTTATTTTGTTTGTTTTTATGTGGTGCTAAGGATCAAACCCAGTGCCTCACAGGTGGGAGGCAAGCGTTCTGCCACTGAGCCACAACCCCAGCCCTTATTAAGGTTTTTCATTGGGTATAATTTCAACCTCATATTTAGATCTTTCTTCTAAATGGAAATGGAAGGTCATAAACTCCACAGTTGCTTTCTAGACTTAGTATGTTTTTGTACTTATTATCTGAAAATGGCAATATTTTAGAAATTTATTCTTACTCGGGAGAAACAGTATAAGATTCCAATTTTTTGTTTTGGTTTTTCCCCCTACTTTCTGAATGTATCCCATTCAATGTTGGAAATTTTTTTTCTAATAATTTTAAAAGTACTAATATTTTGTTATTATTAATATTTTAAAAGTACCTAGTATTTTATAATGCAAGTATATTTCAGAAGATTTGGAACCCATAAATAAATGTGTGGAAGAAAATTAAAATATACCTATATGCTACTTTGTAGTGAGAACCAGTTAACATTTGTATTAGCATATGACTACTTATATGTAATTTATTTAAATAACAGAGGGTTTATCAAGCATCTGTTTAGCTAAATCTTGGCAGATATTCATTCCTATTGCCTGAACCTAAAGTGACTAGAACTTTAACTCTTAGTCAAAAAGATAAACAAAAATTTCAGGAATTTACTTTGTGAAATTAAATTAAATGTTTTATTGTTTTAATTAAAAAGTACCCAGTTATGTACAACTGAATGGTCCTTCTGTCCAAAGACTTTCTAAGGCAAAGTTCAATACTTTATGTACTTTTTATTATCAGCATTTGAGTGACCTATGTCTCATGTAAGTGGAAGTAACCAATAAAGCCTCTTATTTCCAGATGGAACTGAAACATTAAAACATTTTAAGTGTTTTTTTTTTGGTACTAGGGAGTGAACCCAGGAGCACTTACCCATTGTGCCCCAGCCCTGTTTTTAATCTTTTATTTTGAGAAGGGATCTTGTTAAGTTGCATAGGGCGTTGCTAACTTGCTATGGATGGCTTTGAACTTAAGTTCTTGATGAAATAAAGAACTCTCAAGTACAAAGTGGCTCAAGTATTTTTTTCCCATAAGAAAAACTAGCAAAGGACCTATACAATGTTCTTAAAGTTCATCATTTGTACTCAACAAATGTCATTAATTTTGTCTGAAACAAAGAGGATAGATATGCAACATTCCTTTTATATTTATTTAATTTTCTAGGAATTTTAATAAATTTATAAATGGGAAGGTGGTGATTTTCATATTCAAATTATTGGGTTAAGAAGATTTTAGCATTAAAAAAAGAACACAGATTTTTTAAAAATAAATTCTGAATCCTTTTATAAAATCACTGCTACTTAGACAGATTTAATCCTCTCTTTTAAAAAGAAACTTTTTTTTTTAAGTTATAAATGGACACAATACCTTTATTTTACTTATTTTTGTGTGGTGCCAAGGATCAAACCCAGTGCCTCAGGTGTGATAGGCAAGCCCTCTAACCCTGAACTACAATCCCAGCCCTTAATTCTTTTTTTATCTTTCATTTACATGAGGTAGTCTGAGATTCATGTTAGTAATTTTTAAGTTCTTCTCATTAAAAATTTAAGACACCAACTTTTTTTTTTTTTTAATCCCCCTCATAGATACTAGATATTTTTAAGGATGTTTGAAACTTACTCTTTGAAACTGTGATCTCTGGAAATTAATATGACTACAAAATACCATTGCTACCTGAATCTATGTTTTTAAATACTGTGGGTAAAGTGTTGAATATTTGCACGAAATGAAGTTAGTTACAAATTTATGCTACAGTTAGATGATTTGTATAATTCCTCTACTTTGGTAATCAGAAATATCATAACAGAAATATTACGTTTTTGTAGTTTTGAGTTGTTAGGAGTCAACTTTTTTGTGCATGTTTGTGCTTTCTTTTAGACAAAAAACCGTTCCCATAATTTATTCAACCTCATTTCTCGGTATTTTTCCCCCCCTAGATTTTTTAAAAACAGGATTAAAATGTAGAAGATTATGCTGTTTCTTCCCCTTTGCTCTTACGTAATTCTTATAAGCAATATCAAATCAACTGTTACTTTACAGGCAAGTTTTAGGATGTTGTTTGTGCACATATGCATTCACCAACCTATTCTTTGCACTGCCTAAGTTTACCTTTGTTTTCTAGATTTGAGGTTATCTTGCAAGTAATATTTGTGTTTTTTCCTTAAGCTTATCCTTTTTTCATTCTCTTTGCTTTTTCACTCCACTCTTTTTTGCTACTGTAGTTAGAGCTATTCACAGCTTTAATCTCTCTACAAAGGTCTTTTAGAAAACTGTTCAACTATATTAATTAAAATTTTCTGTCCTAATTTCCTAAATAAAGTTTATATCATTCAAGTGAGGTTTTTTCCTCTCTGATATAAAAAGTATTTCCTCAAATGTGTCAGTTTGTCTTGCTTGAAGTAGCTGACAGTAGTTGTTAGCGTCATTAAGAAGACTGCAAAATGATTAGTTATTTGGATCACATTTTTCTAGGTGTATTCAGTAAATTGACAGGATTCCTGACATAATACAATTTTCAGGAAACTTCATGATTAGAGTACTTGAAAACTTTATTTTCTCTTAAGTCAGTATTACAACTATGTTATGAACAATATTATAGATTGCAGATTTGACAGTCCTACCTGTTAATTTCAGTTTGCATAACCTAGTTTCAAGTAAAGTTAGCAAATTGAAGCATAGACTTTAGTTTTTTGTGTATTGACCACCTATAATTATAGGTGTAGTCATCAGAGAATAACTCAAAATTGTAGTGATAAAGACTCAAGGTACAGTAAATATTTGAATTTCTGTGTGCTGTTCAAATATGAAAATTTCTTGTTTGCTACATACAATAGCGTATAAGTGGAAAGGTGGGGGGGGGGTTTGTGTGTGTGTTTTGTTTTTTTAATTTTTTGTCCACATTAGAGGTTGAATCAGGAAGGCCTTGCAAGTTTCTAAGATTATGAACTAGAATATACTGAGTTAACAAGTATTTTTTCACTAAAATTTTATTATTCAGTCTGATTGGCTTAGCCTAGGTGTTTTGATATAATTTTTATTTAACAACAGGGTTTCATAAGCTCCTAATTGTTAATCTATAAGTTAAATTTCCCAATAATATGACTGCTTTAAAACTAAGTAAAAGAATCCCCTCAGTACTTAAAATAATTATGAAAGACTTAATTATTTTTATACTGCCTCTTTTTAATGTTTTTTCTCTAGTTCACTATGAGTGAGTTTTTTCGAGGCACAGCATTTACTTAAAACAAATAGTTATTATTCACTGAAGTGTTATCTTTAGCAGATGTATAGCAAGATGTTTTCACTTCTCCATGCTTGTCACTGTTTTATCTTACCCTAAAAAAATCAACTCTAAAAAATTCTTCAGTGGAATTTGAGTTTTGTGTTTTTTGTTTTTGTTTTTGCTAATCTTAGTTATAGTCCAATGGAAAAAGGTAATGAGATGTTGAACTATTTGGGTAGGGTGGGGACAGAAGTGGGATTCTCTGAATGCTTTGTATGAATTATTTGAGACATTGTATTTTGGAACTATATGTATGTATTATATTGGACTAGAATGCCTCTCCATTAGTACAGTTTTCCTGTGCATGCAGAATCAGTGTGACAGAAGGTGCATGAATATTTTCATCAATGAGATGGCACTGACCTTTCTAGCTTGCACTTATATGAGTATTTCGCATGTAATTCATTCATTTGCTTTTATAATGCTGGCTGTATAATTTTTATTAACATTTTTATAAAGATGCAGTGATCTATTTTTTATAATATCAGATTTCTAACGTCAGTCCATTGAAAGAATAATCTTCAAATTTGTAACACATAAAAATGAACCACTATTGGTATTAAATGTTTAGAAATGTTTAGAAACTTGGGCATTTAGTTTTGAGTTGTGAATACTGAAACTGAGACTGCACCTTTAAAATATTTTGAGTATATGCTATTAAACATTTTTATTATGATTATGTAAAGCTATAATAATTTACTGCCAACAGCTTGCATTGCCAACTGCTGATGTTTTTTCTTTTAATAATATGCTGCATGTAGATAAAGATGACCTCTCCCCAACTGCTGAGGTTTGGGATGTAGACCAGGGACTAATAAGTAAACTGAAGGAACAGTACAAGAAGGAACGAAAGGGGAAGAAAGGGGTGAAGAGTAAGTGCAGATTCTGACTATTATAATTTTTGTTTACCAATACTGAGAATAAAAGTTTTTGATTGTTTTTTTATGTCATTTTATGTTTTGTTTCATAAAGGGGGCAACTAACTTTAAACTTTGTCTGTTGTATAATTGAAACTTATGGATATTATTTAGGATGTTATTGATCAAGGAGGAAATCCTTTTACATATGTGGGCAAGAGTGAAGGAAATTTTTTTTAGTTTTTTTTTTTTAAGCTCTTATAAAGTTTACCAAATTGGTAAGGAATATTGGAATTAAAAATAGTAGATATTCATTCAAAAAGGAAAAATAAATTTCTCCATTTTTGTTACATAGGGAATTAAAGCTATAACCAACTCATATCCAAGTTAGTTTGGGAATTCTTACATACAATAAGCAAGAAAGCCCCTTCCAAGTTTCTGCTTTCTGATAATAATCCAACAGAAATAATAGCCACAAAACTTCTACTGGTTCGTATTTTCTTGGCTACTAGGAAGGGTAATGGTGATGTTTATTTAGTCAAATAGCTGGGTGTCTTTTGGTATCAGGGTATATTTTTCAATGTGTTGTATTTAGCCAGTGTACTGCAAAAGTATAAATACAGTTGTGTTATTTCTCTGTATAATTAATTCATTTTCATTTTGTGAAGCAAACTTTTTGGGAAAAAAGAACAACACCCACAGTAGGGAAAAACGACCCACATAAAAACCTTCTTCAGACCTGTGGAAACCCTTGAAACTTATTTTGGGGCTGTTGACTCCTAGTCTCATCTTTTTTGCTTTATGAAAGAATGTATGATAAAGGTAAAACCACAGAGGCATTCTTTCATATTCTTTTTTCTAGTGACATGTAGAAAAGTTTACAAAATGGCACATATAAAGAATGAAAATTTCCTTCAGTAAAGCATTTTTTGAGTGATTTATTGTAGAAGCTAATAAGAGGGATTTTGGAGGATTTTACCTGTTTTATAAGTTTTTGAAACTGTAAGCTAGTTTATGTTATTGCATATAAATTAAAGGGCAAACTATTCTTCAAGAAGTTTCACACTATTGGGAACTGCTTATTATATGGAGTAATATTTGGTGCTAAACTAAACTAGGACTGTGTTCAGATTTAAAATCATTTACCTATAATGTGTGCATGAGTATGAAAGTATGATTGCATGGTTGACTTTTAGGAATGATAAAATGAAGTTACATCTTTAGTATTTAGTTTTCTTTATTTCTTTTTGATACTGGAGATTGAACCCAGGGGCACTTTACCACAGAGCTGCATCCCCAGTCCTTTTATCTTTGGAGACAGGTTCTCACTAAGGAACTGTGGCTGGCCTCAAGTTTGCAGTATTTCTGCCTTAGCTTCCTGAGGTGCTGGGATTACAGGAGTGCCCGACTGCATCAGGCTATTTTTCTTTTTAAGAAATGAAGTGTTTATTTTAATATTAGATTGCTTTATATATGTTGTCATGGAGTTAATCTGCTGAAGGTTTCTTTAGAAATTCTTAGGTAATGTTGCTTCCAATTTAAAATAGAAGTATCCCTTTTTTGTGTGTGTGTGATAAACGTGTATCTTTTTGAGGTTCGGAAATGCAAGTCATTTCACTGTCTTTTTAGTTGTAGGTTTTACATTTTTCTAAAAATCCCTTTTAAAATAAATACCTGCTTAATAAATATTAAAAACAGATGAATAAAAATCAAATTGTTAAATCTTCATTAAAAATGTGCCTATTTAGCTAACAGTTCATAGAAAACATCGCTTTATGTCAGCTAATATTCTTGTATGTTCTTAACTTTTTTCTTTTCCCCTTTTTAACTAAGCCACCCTATTGTCAATACTGGTGAAGCCAGTATGTGAAATGAGTGAAAGGGAGCTATTGATTGAATCAGGATCTAGGGACTATTGCTCTCATGTCTCAATGGTGTCTTATTATCTAGATATGTATTATTTGGCCCACTCTCCTTTAATTTTGATTTTATATATTTTTAAATTAACTTTGTATCTATAATTATAAAAATATTCATGTTATTTAGACAATATAATAAATATATAGAAATATAAAGAAAAAAGTAAAAATCACCTGTAGTCCTACTATCCAGATATTATGCCTAACATTTAGCATAATTATTCATATTTTACTACAAATCTTGTAAAAACTTAAACTTTTTGAATTTTCAACAAGAATTAAGAAAAAATTTTTTTAATTGTCAATGAACCTTTATTTTTTTTATTTGCCTGTAGTGCTGAGAATCAAACCCAGTGCCTCACATGCCAGGCAAGCACTCTACCACTGAGCTACAACACAGCCCAAGAATATTATATATTTTTTAAACTCATTGTTTCGTAGGTGTTTTAAAATCATGTAAAATTTCGGTGGTTATATAGTATTTCATTTTGTGAATTTTACCTAGCCTCCATTTGTGAATCTTTTAGGTGGTTTAAAATTTTAAAATATGTTAAGTATCACTGTCTTTAAGATTACCTATGTAAATAGACATAAGGTTGAGGTTTCTGGCAATGTCTCAGGAAACAATAATTAAGAAAAAAAAATAAACATTAACTTTTTACATTTACTTTGACATTCCTTAAATTTAAAAACTTTGGCTCGTGAATACAGAAAGTGTTGACTTTGAATCTCTGACATGCGGATGAAAATTAAAGAAATGCAATTTATCCTCAGTGGTTGCCTGAAACTGTGGATGGTACCAAATCCTATATACCGTTTTTTTTTTTTATACATATGTGCCTGTGATAAAATTTATAGTAAGTTACAGTAAGCAATTAATAAGAATTTACCATCAACCCAGCAACCTCAAGTATAATTTTTTTGTTCCCTTTAGTTAGGAACTTTGTACCTTTTCATTTTAAGTATGCTTCCTTGATGTGTCAGAATTGTTGGCCTTTGCCTTGGGGCCTTTTTTTTTTTTTTTTTCAGTAAAACAAGAGCTACTTAAACACAAGCACTGTGTGACTGTGGTATTTGATCTGAAAACCAAGAAAGCTACTTAAGTTGAATAATGAATGTGTAGCATAAAGCATGGATTTGTTGGACAGAAGCAAATCCTGGGCAGGACAAAACTCATATTTTATTACTCAGAATGGTATGCAATTTAAAACTTTAGAAATTGTTTGTTTCTGGAATTTTCTATTTAATCTTTTTAGGCTCTGGTTGCCGTAGGTTACTGAAATCAGAAAACAGAACCACAGATAACAGGGCATCACTATGAAAACTTTTTAAAATGGATCATAAACTTCTAATAGTCTTAATTCAGGTAGATAATCATATTAATACTAAGATATAACTTATGTAAGATAGTTTATGAATTTTCTTAGCATTTTTATTGTCTAGGCTTTGTTTGTTTTTATTCTGATATTTTCCTAGGTGTAGCTTTGTATAATTAGGACAATTCATAAAACTATAGGCTTTTTTTTTTTAAGAGAGAGAGATAATTTTTAATATTTATTTTTTAGTTTTCGGCGGACACAACATCTTTGTATGTGGTGCTGAGGATCGAACCCGGGCCGCACGCATGCCAGGCGAGTGCACTACCGCTTGAGCCACATCCCCAGCCCAAAACTATAGGCTTTTGATTTCTTTTTTCCTTTGCTCCAGAATGTGAATAAATTATACCTACTGGATCTTAGTGCTAAGTGTGTAAAGAGAATTTTTTTTTCCTCCAGCTGCTTTGAAGGAAAACAATTATTTTCTAACTTTACTATAGGGATTCAGCAGGTGTAATTTATTTATTTTTATGTGGTACTGAGGATTGAACCCAAGGCCTCGCACGTGCTAGGCGAGCACTCTACCATTGAGCTACAACTCAGCCCCAAGAGTACTTGCTTTTTTAACTTCGTAAAGATTTATCCAAGACTTGATTCTTAAGTAGAAAGATTTTTTAAAGTACTTAAAGTTTCTCTGTCTTTAGGCTTGTTTACTCCATTCTACCCATTTTTAACTGTGAGGCGAGAGTTAAAAATGACATTCTTATAGATGTGCTTCAGTATTTTTTTCTTACTAAGTAAGATATATTTTAGAGATGTTAAGACCATAAAATTAAAGAGATTTTAATGTGGTTATTTTGGTTTCAGATTTCAAAAGGTTAAGCTCTGTTTTCTTTTAATTTTTTATTAAGATATAATATCTGACTTAAGAAAAGTTGCAAAAATAGCACAGAAAATTCCATATACTTTTCACCCTAATTCTGTAGCCCTTAACACTTTATCACAATTGCTTTATACTTTTCTTTCTAATGTTTACATTTTCTTTTTTTTTTTTTTTTAAAGAAAGAGTGAGAGAGAGTGAGAAAGAGGGAGAGAGAGAGAGAGAATTTTAATATTTATTTTTTAGTATTTGGAGGACACAATATCTTTGTCTGTCTGTGGTGCTGAGGATCGAACCCGGGCCGCACGCATGCCAGCCAAGCGCGCTACTGCTTGAGCCACATCCCCAGCCCAAATGTTTACATTTTCTTTGAACAGTTCAGAAAACTAAATTATAGATGTTCTCCCTGATACTTCAGGGTATATTACCTGACCATAGAAGTATTCTGTTTCACAACCACCATTCAATGATGAAAATCAAGAAATTCGTATTGATAAAATATTCTAACCCAAAGCCTAATTTTCTTTGACTTTTTACTAAATGTTCTATAGTTTGGGAATGGAAGTGTGAGGGAAAGTGCTTCATGTTTTGTTAAAAATCTTGTACTGATTGGATTATTTCTATCTCCCCCCCTCCATTTTTGCTATATTTTTATAGGACATGTAAATTAATAGTGATTAAAAATCACATAGAGTATAGCACCTGAAGTAAGTGTGAAGCATCTGAAATCTGGGGTCTTTATTTAGAATGAAATATGTGCTAAAACTTTAAAAGATTTTTTTTTTTTTTTTTTTGGTATTTGTTTCTGATTTTGAACATAAAAAGTTTAAACTGTGCATTGCAATGACTTTTTTTTCTTTGATAGGTGCCATTATTTTTATATCCTATTGTGACTCCTATGCTATATTATACCTATAAAATTAGGCTCATCAAGAAGATAAAACTATTTCATTTTCTTTCTTCGGAAGATCTGAAGCCTTTCTCCATTTTAAGGATTCACATTCTGAGAATGTATTTGCAGTTTCTGCCTCTTCATAGATGGATTTGTCTTAATTTTTCTAATTATTTTCATGTATACTAACTTTCCTATCTTTTCTGTGTGTAGAATATTATTTTCTTTCTTTACCGATGTTACAGGATTGCTGTACGTTTTCTGATTTAAATAACATTACTTTTTCTATATTTCTTTTAAATATAAACTATGTGAGGTTCTCTGGATCATTTTCTAGTTTTCATTTTTTGAGCTTTGTAGTAGTAATTGTCATTTACTGATCCAGATCCAAGATACAGATTTTAAAGTATAACTGCAGTCTAAGTATCTCAAACTAGGCATTTTCAATACATTTATGAAGAAGTTATTTATTTTTTAACAGTAATTTTCAGTAGCTTTCAGAAGCACCTTGCACATGCTGTATGATATTTGTGATTTTTAAAAAGAAAAAAAAACTGCTTATTTTCAGCAGATACAGCTTGAGCATTCCTAATCCAAAAATCTGCAATCCAGAATGTTCCAAAATCAGAAACAAAGTTTTGGATTTTGGAGCATTTAGATTTTGAATTTTAAGATTAGGATTCTTGACTGGTTAAAAATCAATGCAAATATTCAGAAATTTTTAAAAACTCTGAAATCTGAAACACTTCTGATGCTTGGTTCCAAGCATTTCCAATAAGAGATACTCAGCCTCCAGTATAAATTCCAAAAACACATAAAATGTGCTATATTCTCTCTTGCATCAAATTAAAGACAAAAAGAAAATTGTTACGTAGCAAAGGATTTCAACTAAGGGATATGGCTGTTTTCTGTTTCTGATTTTAATTTCACACTTGTAAAATGAACCAATCCCTCTTTCCCTCCCTTTTTCAAAGAAATATCTTATTCTAGGTATTTTTGCCTAGAGTTACAAAGATGATTTCAGTCACTGCATTTTTTAAAACCACAAAATCATTTTGCAGCTCAAAGTTATTTTTCCTTAACATTGAGGTGGCATAATTATTTAAGATAGTTGTCATATGAAATATTTAATTATAATGATAGAAACTAGAACAGATCTAGCATAAGCTTATTTTTAGCTTATCTCTTTCATATTGGTTTTGCTTCAGAATATAAGGGTAGTTGACAAGCAGAGTACATATTTGAGAAAGAAAACATTAGATTTGTAACAAGTACTATTTTACTTATGGTAATAGAGTATATAGGAAGATAAATTTCATGTCACAAGTTTGTGTGAATTTAAAAACACTAACATAATGCAGTAGTATAGTTTGGCTTGCATGTGAGCATAATCAGTATCCTCATTTTACTGCAATCTAAAGGATGTATGTTTATATAGGACTTGGAAGTCATGATTAAGATGTATTTGTGTTTTTTGTAATTCAAAGTCTTTTTTGCTATAAAAATTTTTCTCATAAATTCTAGCAGCAATTGAGAACTGGCTTTTATTTAATCCTTAGTCTTCCAGTTTGCCTTTAAATATTGGTTTAATATGTGTAACATTCTGTTACATTAATACTATTATAAGTTTCTTATTACTGCTAATTATATTTCAGATTTTTATATGAAATTGTTTAATATTTATATTTAAAATTTATATTTAAAATATTGCATAATTTTAGAAAGCAAATGAAGACATTAAATTTGCAATTGAAAGATGGTTTATATAGTAGATTTCTGGTTATGAAATTGCTTTCATCTTTTGACAGCTTTTGAGAAGCTAGAATTGGAGCAGAGAAGTTTCAGTTGAATGTTTGGCTGTCATATACAAATAACAATAATGATATAATTTGGGATCCTGAATGTGAACAGTGACTGGTGACTTTCACCACATGCAGTTGTGCATGCCTGTAATCCCAGCAACTTGTGAGCTTGATACAGGAGGATCTTGAGTTTTGAGGGCTCAGCAATTTAGTGAGACCCTGTCTCAAAATAAAAAAGGCTGGGAATGTAGCTCAGTGCTTGGTCTAGCATGTATTCAGGGTCTTTGGTTCAAGCTATAGTATAAACCAAAAATAAGAGAGAAAGAGAGAGAGAGAGAAAGGGAGAGAGAAAGAAAGAAACAATGACCTTCATATTGTCTTTTACTTTCCTACCCTTCTATATTTCCAAGTCTATGTGTACTAGATGATCATTACTTCACATATAGCAAAAAAATTCTTATCTCAAGTCTTTATTTTTTATATCAGTGTTCATAAAATGAAATTATGTGTAAGTCAAATTTTAAGGTATATACAAGTATAATAAAAGTGAGCAGAGAGAGATCAACAAAATATTTACAGAGTAAATGTTAGTTTGGAGAAATGAGTAGATTTGAATTGGCCAAGGTGCATGTTAGAAGGTGTGTGTGTGTGTGTGTGTGTGTGTGTGTGTGTGTGTGTGTGTGAGAGAGAGAGAGAGAGAGAGAGAGAGAGAGAGATTGATTGGGAGGGAGGATGTGTGAATTATTTACCTTTGTGAATAATAGGTGAAAACAGATAGGACATACTATGGCAGAAATAACTTCAGTGAACATTGTACTATATAGAAATTGCTTTGACTGTGGAAAATTAGTGGATTATAGATCATTAAAAGATAAGATTGGATAGAAAAAAATCAGATCAGATTATGAACCTTGAAAAGTACAAGATTTTAGTTAACCTTGATCCAAAGAGTGTTGAAGTATCATCTGTGTTTTCAGAACAAGGGGTAATACAATAAATATGAAGATTTTGGAAAAATTAATTTTGTGGTATTCAAATTTGATTGAAGGCAAGTGGAGCTTAAGAAATAGAGGGGGAAATTTTGAGAATTTGTTGTAGTAATCTATAAGAATGAAAGCCCTGATTAGATTAAACTCAGTAGAAAGAGATTAGCCTGAAGAATACTTCAAAGGATTCTTTTTTTAAAAACAGTTTTGGTTCCCCACTTATTTTACAAATTTTAGGATTGTTAAGATTCAATTGCAGAATTTTTAGTACAGGAACTAAGTTAGTGGTGGTAATTATTATACTAGTTGGTAAGTTAGAAAGGGGAGATATTTGTGAGGAAACATGTTTATTTTTTCACATTGAATTTAAGTGATAGTTGTACATCCACTTTACCTTTTTTTCATTTATTAGAGAATTTGTTTATTATCATTTCACTGGCCATGGGAAAATCCTCCAGTAACACCCAAATTTCTCAGTTATAATTATTTTAGAACATTTAGACTACATAATATTTCATACCTAGAAGTTGAGTTGTATAAATACTTTTAAGAAGTTAGGAATAGTTGTAAAATAGAACTAATAAATGTGTCAGATTCCACTTATTTCCATTAAGTCTTACCATCTCATTGCCTGTCATTCTGTTAGGAATACATAGATAAATGATATTTCCTATAGAGTTACTAATATGTAGATAGCCACAATGAGTTTAATAATCATAAAGCACTCTTAATTTCAGTCCATTAATGTTGACATTAGTTAGTGAATGTGAGGTCATATATGTTTGACCTTGGTTTTGCCTATTTAAATTGTTTTTATTGATTAAAGTATTTTTGTTGACTTTCCAAATATATTCTGACATTCTTAAAACTAAACTTTCTTTTAAAATACATGCTTAAAAATAAATGATTATTTCATTCTGAAGTTCAAAGTTAAAAGTAAAGACTATTCCACAATACAGCAGCAGATTTGGGTTTTTTTTATGTTTTAGCCTGAATTATACAGGTAGTAGCTAAAAAGTCTCTTAAATTTATGGTATCTGAAAATGCTGATGTTTTGTACCACTACAATAAGCTCAGAGAGCTCACAGGTAAATCAGTGTTTTCAAATCTGGAAAAAGTGAAAAAAAATTTTTTTAAGAGAAATTGGGATTAATTTGTTAGTGACAAATTTACACTAATGTGGCAGGAAAATACCTGTGGAAACACCAGGGAAAGTTAATTGTTTGTTGCACCCTCATAAAAATAATTTGTGATTATTTCTTTAATTTTTTAAATTAATTAATTTAGTTGAAAAGTTCATGTTTTAATCTTTACACAAGTAAGCATTAACCTAAACAGCAAATTTTTCCTTGTTTTAATGGCATCTTCTGAGTCTGAGCCTACAGAACTTGGGTTCGGTAACAACCCCCAACCCCCAATTATATGTTTAAAGTATACAGTGGAGATAGAGATATATATATATTACACAAATATCAAAAGAATAATGAATATCTTAAATATTTAAACTCTTCATGTGTTCTTGAGGGGGTGGTATAGAAAATTGAAGATATCTTTAATTACATGATATTTTAAAAACTGGGACTTCTAATAGCCTATTCTGTTAGCAAGTCAAGCGGTAGCCATTAAATGAACCTATACTGCTGACGTTAATTTACAGGGGTCAACAGAACAAAACTCTGCGACATGATAGCTGATCTGGGAGATGATGAGCTGCCCCACATCCCTTCAGGAAACATTAATCAGTCTAGGTCAGCCTCTACTAGAATGACTGATCATGAAGGTGCAAGAGCAGAGGAAGGTACAATATTTAGCTACCATGTTTATTTACATTGTGCAAGACCTTAACTCCATATCACATCTTAATATTATAAATTTGCTACTGTTTAAAATTTTGAAAATCTTTTTATATCAGAGAAGGTGTTGGGCAAGGTCTTGGGGATTTTTAAAACTTATGGTTTCTAACTCTTTATGTTTTTGTGTTTAAAGTTAGATGGAGTTGTATCTTTCTTATATCTAACTTAGAAATCTAGTAGTGGGAAAATTTACAAAATTTAAACTACACAGTTTACCAAAATAAATTTAAAATAATACATATAGAAAAAGCTATTTAGTCATTTTGTCATGTGTTTTAAATTTAGCAATTGTTAATAACTACTACTTGCTAGGCAGTGTGCTCAGCATTTTACATATACATTATTTATATCTAAAAAATTATAATAATAATAATTTTGAAGACATCTTATACCCCCACCCCCACCCATTTTTTCAGTGCAGGAGATCGAACGCAGGGCCTCACACATACTAGTCAATTGTTCTGCCTTTAAGCTACATTCTTGGCACCATTTTATTCTCTTAAAATTTCTGTATTTGGGGCTGGGGCTGTGGGCTCAGCTGTAGAGTACTGGCCTGGCACGTGCGGGGCGCTGGGTTCAATCCTCAGCACCACATAAAAATAAATAAATAAAATAAAGGTATTGTGTCCAGCTACAACTAAAAAAAAAATTAAAAAAAAAGATTTCTGTAGTGATAACTAAAGTTAAATAATATTGTCCTTTGTTCCTTGCCTTTATTACATATTTTGGTGGGGGGTGGTGGTAAGGGGGATTGAACTTGGGCATTCAACCACTAAGCCACCTTCCCATCCTATTTTTGTATTTTATTTAGAGGCAGGGTCTCACTGAATTGCTTATTAGCACCTCGCTATTGCTGAGGCTGGCTTTGAACTCACTATCCTCCTGTCTCAGCCTCTCAAGCCATTGGGATTACAGGCATGTGCCACCGCGCCAGACTTATCACATGTCAATCTGTGGGATAATTTGAAGAAAGATAAGTCACTAAAATAATAAGTCACTAAGATAGTTATATATAATAAAATATAAAATATACAATTATTTTATTATAATAAAAGCAAAAGGAATGCAGAGTCACATCGTTTGTTGATTTTTGTGATCTCATTTCTACTATTGAATTATTCTTATTTTGGGGAGTAATTTCTTCCATTTTCTAAAATGCACATAACTCTGTTATGTGCAGACAGAATGCCTTTATTTTATTTGTTTTTATTTTTATGTGGTGCTGAGGATTGAACCCAGTGCCTCACCGCATGCTAGGCAAGCTCTCTGCCACTGAGCTATAGCCCCAGGCCTGTTTGTTTGTTTGTTTGTTTGTTTGTTTTTTAACCAAATAATGCATGGTACATTTGTTAGAATTTTTATAATTAATATACATTCTAAACTTCAGATTGTGCAGTTAAGACAAAGCCATATTAGCAGGAGTATAGATCCTTTTAAATGTTTCAGACTAGTGACTTAACATAAAAAAGCCAGTCAAGACTTACCACTACATAAAAATCAATTTAGAGCTGCCTCTGTGTAGTGTGTGTGTGTGTGTGTGTGTGTGTGTGTGTGTGTGTGTGTGGTGTTTTAAAGAAAAATGTAAGTCAGTAATGTCTTTCATAGTGGTAGGAGGAAGGCAAGGGGAAGGTATACCTTACTAAAATTTGTTATTTAGAGACATTTGATTTTAACTTTGAACTGAGTTTGTAGTCTTATTTCAGTGGCAAATCCTTTCTTGTTTTCTTTTTTAATTCCTTGTTATACCTCAATTTTTAAAGAACAAGTTACAACCTTTCAAACTATTGTTAGTAAAGACTTTAAGATATACCATGTTGCCACTGACATAAGTGGAAATTCTTTTGGGGGCTCTGTTCTTTAAATTTGATAAGATTTGAAGAGAAAGGAAGAGTTTCCCTGGTTATAGTGTCCATCAAAAAGAGGAATAATAATAAATAATGACCATTCCTATCATTGAATTAAAAACTTTTTAATTTTTTTATTTGAATTGCTGATGACATTTTATGCTTATGTACACATGTACCATGGGTAATTGTATTAACATTAATAAGATGAATTTGTAGAATGGAAATTAGCTTTGTTGGCAGGGAAACAAGGACAAACAAATTGAGTATTTACTGTGATTACCATGTGCCACAGTGATGGGTGATATCGAAAATAAAAATAATAGCTTAAGTGATATTTTTTTTGTGCACCCAGATATACATGTAAATAAATGCTGAGTAAGAGGAATGGCTTGCTTAATACAAAGAAATATGTGTGCATAGAAAAAGGGATAGAAATATTAATTACAAATAAGTATAATACTTTTTGGTAAATGTGGTTAATCTAAAACTCCAGTAAAACAAGCTAATATTGCCAACTAGTTAATATTGTCAAAGTACTTTCTTTCACATACCCCTAAAGTAGTCAATGGTTGATCAGAAATAATCCTGCAAAAATAATATGTTATATTTAAGTTGTTTAATTGAGCTTTTAAGTTTTGTGTTAGTGAATGTAAGTGGAAGGAATAGCATTTTAACTTAGAAACAAATTATCTTTGTACTGGCAAAAGATGCTTTTGAGTAAATTTTACTTACTGACTGATAAAATTGTTCTTAAACATAATTTTAAACTTGATTTTAAAGCTCTTAGTTATTTCTGGTATTACCAATAAGTGAACAGTAGAAATGAAAAGATCAGTGCTACAGTTTGTTCAGGTTCAGCAAGTATAGTCATTAAAAGATGAATTAAATACTATCTAGTGTCCCCATTTATATATATTTTCTGGCAGTGCTTTCAGATTCACTTTACATCATTTGCTAAATTGCATAGCATAGTTTAATAGGATAAAAATAACAACATATAGCTGGGAGTGGTGGCACATGCCTGTAATCTCAGTGGCTTAGGAGGCTGAGGCAGGAGGATCAAGTTCAAAATTAGCCTCAGCAGTGGTGAGGTGCTAAGCAACTCAGTGAGACCCTGTCTCTAAATAAAATACAAAATAGGGCTGGGGATGTGGCTCAGTGGTTTAGTGCCCCTGAGTTCAGTGCCCAGTACCCCATCCCCCCCCCCCAAAAAAAAAACCCACAAAGTATTCTAAATAAAGATAAATTTTACTATGGCCATAGTGTATGTGTGTATATATTGTATATTCTCAGAATTGTTTTCAATAGTATTAGTGAATGCTTATTTTAATATATCATTTTTCATAGGAATTTTTAAAAATTATCAGCTTGAGCTTTTGAATGCTTTTTTTCCCAATTTGTTCATGAATTTTAAGTGTATTTTGATATGTTGTTTTGTATTATAATTACTCCAGTATTTTTTCTTGCCATCTTAATGTTAACATTTTGCTTTTAAAGCACATGTTTGAAATGATAAAATTATTGCTTACACAAACTGTCAACAGCAAATTTTTTGATAATAATATAGTCAGTCATTCAAATTATAGTAGTTTAACTGGTCAATAGAATGTATAGAGGAAAATATTTTAAATAATTTAATTGGAACTTCTAATATCAACATGGGAAACTGTAATGATGTACATGATACAGATGAGAAAACTAAGCAAAATGAAGCTTTCATTTCAGTTATATTTGAAATTGAAATGGCCATTCTGATTAAAAAATGTAAAGTTTTATAATCATTATACTTCATTTGTGTCATTTTAAAAGTGTCATGGTAAATAAAAGAGGACATTAAAATAAAAATTGTAGTCACAGTTTTAAAACTGGAGGGCATTCTGAAGAGCACACGAATTAACCTTATAAGAGACTTAGCTGTAGAGGTACCTTTTTCCTAGGCCATTGTTGTCACTGATATACTGTCATAGCATACTGGAAACCATTCACATTTGAATGCTTTGTTTTTAATCTTTAGATTTAAAAAGATTTTTTTTTTAATCTTTAGAAAGAAAAGGACTTAGCAGCAGCCTGTTCACTTTTTAAAAATACTGTGTAAGCTACTTTGAAGTTGATGGTAGAGGTTTATTCTCCTATGAATAGCTAAAATCTGATATTTAACTCCTTTACTTAATCAAAAATTTTTCTATTTCTTATATAAACTTTAATTTACTGAAGTGATACAGGATTTGAATAGACAAAACTTTTGTGCCCTACCTCCCACCCTGGAATAGTGTACGTAGTACATATTTGATATGTGGAGGATAACTACTTTGCAGTTTCAACACATTTGTTTATTACTAGTAATAGGATTTTTTGAGTGGAAGTGGGAAAATAGAAATTCATAAATATTACTGAATTATGTAACTGTTTAGTGCTTAAATTTCCCCCACAGTATTTGTCTTGTACTGTATGATTTTTCAGCATTTAAGAAGCGGTTTTGTTCTTTATAGCTGAACCAATAACGTTTCCATCTGGAGGAGGCAAGTCATTTATTATGGGTTCTGATGATGTTTTGTTAAGTGTACTGGGCCTTGGAGACCTTGCAGACTTGACGGTAACAAATGATGCAGACTATAGTTATGATGTAAGTGCAGTTTTATTTTTAATTTTTTTAATGATTTAATAGAAGGCTTCCTTATTTTTTGGAATCACTTATAAAGCAGAATTAATGTCAAGGTGCATGGAAAAGATAAGTTTTAAGTGTGTCAATGTGTTGATTTGAAGTGACATATAGTTTTCTAACTTTCTTTGTGGTGTTTAAATTTTTCTTAGGTATTTTGTTGGATTAGCTAGGTGTTTGGATGATTACCTTAAAATATTGGTCAGCAAACACATCTTGAATAGTCTACTCTCAATTATCTTACAGAAATTAAGCCTATTTTGGTGTTTACAAAAGAAATTATTTGCCTTCAAGTTACTTCTTAAAATAAAAAATGTTTTATTTTTGAGGTTTAATCTGCTTAAGGATAATGTTAAAGTTGGCTTGCATCATTTTCTAAGTATTTAATTCCATTTGAGGGCTAGGTAGAGCATTCAGGAGGAGTGGGAAGGACAGCATAAGAGGTGAAATTAGTCTTGGAATAAATTTTTTCTAGACATTTAATATTCAGTTGAGAGTTAACTATACTTGTTTAGATTTTTATATTATTATGGTTTTTCAGCAAATTAGTTTTTTACTTTTACAGCATATCTTTTTTCTACCTTTCCCCCCCCCCAGGGGTGCTTAACCACTGAGCCACATCCCCATCCCTTTTGACTTTTATTTGGAGACAGGGGTCTCGCTAAGTTGCTGAGGCTGGCTTTGAACTTGTGATCCTCCTGCCTCAGCTTCCTGAGCTGCTGGGATTACAGGTGTACGCCACTGCGCCTGGCTTTTACATTTTATATTTATTTAGTGTGCTTTTTAGAGACATGAGCCTTGGGTAGGCTTAATTATTCTAGTTAATATTTTTAAAGTATATATGCAGCTAAACTATAGTAAACTTTACTGCTTTAGAAGTGGTTTCACAGCTTATCTTTACAGATGAAGAAATAAAAGTTAAAAGATTAACCTCTGTCATAATCAAGAATTAGACAAATGGTTTGAAAATATTATTAACAGGTCCTTAGCTCAGTTTCTAGAAAGTACCTTAACTTGCTGCCTTTAAAAACTTCACATGCTAGTAATTTCCTAAATGACAACTATACTGTTTGCCCTTGGATATTTGCTAATTTATGTGTGTGTGTGTGTATATACATATACATATATATATATATATATATATATTTGTTACATTTTGTTTTGTACTTATGTAAAGTATTGCAGCAATGAGTTATTTTATTCTCTTCAACATTTATTACGAGCTTTGGGTGTAGTTTGATGATTAGGTAAAAACAGATTAAGGAACTCTTCATTTGACCTACATATTTGAAAGGCTAATGAAATTATTCTTCTGAATCCTTATAAAATGATAAAGATTTGTTATAAAGCTTTTAATACATTAAATTTCCACTGGACATTTTAGCCAAGCTATTTTAAATATATGTTTTTAAACACAAAAGAAACAAAAACACCACATACCTATCAGTTTACTACTTTTACCAGTAAATAGTGTGCTTTTCCTTTTTAGTTGCCTGCCAATAAAGATGCCTTTCGAAAGACATGGAATCCCAAGTATACACTACGTAGCCATTTTGATGGAGTGCGGGCATTAGCTTTTCATCCTGTTGAACCTGTGCTGGTTACTGCCTCTGAGGACCATACGCTGAAACTTTGGAACTTGCAAAAAACAGTTCCTGCCAAAAAGCAAGTATTTTAATAATGGCTGGGTTTTTTCCTTCCAATTTTGCTAATATGAATAATTTGATTATACTTCTTTATTGTCTCTTATTTTTTATATGTGCATTTGATCTTCCTAATGATTCTTTAGTTTAATGGTTATTTAACTGCTTTCTCTTCCCCCGTCCTTTTTTTCTCCATCTTTTAGGAGTGCCTCTTTAGATGTAGAGCCTATCTACACATTTAGGGCCCACATGTAAGTTTTACTCAACTAGTACTTAATTAATAACCATAGTTAATAACTGTTATTTACCAATCTTCAAACTTTATAATTTTCTCAATGTTTGCTATTAGGTAAGACAGTTACATAATATCTCATTTTACTAACATTAGTGAGAATATGAATTATGTTAGTTCTATTTAAATATACATGTTTACTTTAAACAGTTTTTAAATACCTTGTAAATCACAGATTTGGGAATGGGGATTGAATTTCTTGGGATTTGTAAGTAATTTTTTTCACTCTCTTCCTATAATAGTGGCCCTGTTCTGTCATTAGCTATTAGTTCTAATGGAGAACAGTGTTTTAGTGGTGGTATTGACGCAACCATCCAGTGGTGGAATATGCCTAGTCCTAACGTGGATCCATATGATACATATGGTAAGTAAAAGATGTCAAAAGTAAATAACTCAAATATTATTAAAGTTATTTAAACATATATTGGTTCCTTTATTTAATTTTTCTATTTGCTAGTAAGTGCTTTAGAAAAGAAATCAAAAAATGTTATGCCATGCATACCTAAGCCTATGAATTGGCATTTTCTGGTATTTTTTAAAAGTCTCTGTTAATTGAAATGTTAATTTCAGTACTAGTTAATGTAATGGGGTGGAAAACAATATAATTTAGCAAATATTTAAACTTAGTGTACATATTTTTAAATATTAAAACAAAGAGGGACAGTGAGGATGTAAATTGATACAACTCATTGGAGGGCCAAATATTCTTAATTTGAAAATGAAAAAACACTAAAGAAAACTTTAACTTCTACAAGTGACACTTTTAGAAATCTGTTCTACAGAAAAACTGAATATATGTTTAAATATATTTATTAGGGCATGTTTCATTATTATTAAAAAATGAAACAATTTTGAGCTCTTTGTTCTTTTTTAATTGACACACTTGGTGCCACTATTTGTCAGGCATAGTCATTATTAGCACTTTGTCCAGAAATAACAGTTAGCCTAATGGAAAAGATGGACATTAAATGAGCAAGGGTTTGGGGGTTACTGCTTACAAATTGTGGTGAGTAATAAGAAAATAGAGTACTATGAGAAAGGTAACAGGTGGAACCTGTTCCTGACTTTAGGTGAGAAGTCAGGAATATTCTAATTAAAATAGTAACATTCAAGCTGAAAGATAAAAGATAACAGAATTTCTGTAAAACATTTTAGGCCGAAAAAGTGACCTGAAAAATGTAGTGTATAAATAGGTGGCTGTGTTGCTGGAGCTGTGGCTCAGTGATAGCGCACTTGCCTGGCATATGTGAGGCACTGTGTTCAGTTCTTGGCACCACATATAAATGAAATAAAGGTCTATCAACAACTTAAAAAAAAAAAAATCGTGACTGTACTCTGTCTGTTATGGAGAGAAGAGTACATTAAGGGCCGGAGAGTAGAGACAGGAATACTGTAGGAAGCTGCTGTAATGTAGACTAGATGGGAGATGATGTCAAGAGTGGTGGTGGTACAGCAGTTAGAGAGAAGTGTATTTAATATATATGGGGGAAGTAGAGTAGAATAGATAGGACTTTGTGATGAATATGAGTAGATGAAGTGATAAGTGAATGACTTGATTTAATTGTGTTTTCTTAATTACCAACTTTATTGAAATATAATTCATACAATAAATTTCATCTTTTAAAAATATATAATTTAGTAATTTTTACTATGTACACAGAGTTGTGCAGCCATTACCATTATCTAATTTCAGAACATTTTCATCTCTAGCACTGGGATTTCAGCATGAGCATCTGAGTATGTGATGGTAGCATTTATTGAAATAGGGAAAGAACAAGTGTGGGGAGACAATGAGTTGGATTTGGGGCATGTTGAGAGACAGTATCAAGTAGGTAATATGCAAATATAGAGCTCAGAGATCTGGGTTGAAGATAAAAATATGGGGAAGTCCTTTCTATATAGATGATACTTTTAAGCTGTGAGAATGGATGGTATAACATAAGGAGATTGTGTTGTAAAGAGTAAGAAGAGAAAACAACTTGAAATTAAAATCTTCACAGTAATCCCAACATGGAGAGTATGGCTAGAGCAAGAGAACCAATACAGGAAATTGAGAAGATGTAATTCAATAGATAGGAGGAAGTGTGAGAGTGTGGAATCATGGAAGCATCCCCAAAGGAGAAAACATTTTTAGAAGGAAGCAGCCTGCACATTCAGATGTTGCATTTGAATAGGATAAAAAGGATTCTTTTTATATAAAAGTGACACATAGGTCACTCGTGTCTTTCCCAGATAGAGATTTGTCACTGTAGCTAAGAGGATGAAGGAACTCTTGATACCCTTTCAAGTCATACTAAATGGATGAAAAGTAATATGATGGGAACAACAAAGAAGAAATGCTTTATATATCATCAAAGGAAAGTATCAAATTTTGTATAGTAGAGGTTATCATCGATTCCCTCCCCACCTTTTAAATTTAATTTTATTTTGAGACAAAGTCTCTCACTAAATTTCCCAGGCTGGCTTTAAACATGTGCTCTTCCTGCTTTAGCCTACTGAGTCCCTGGGATTACAGGCACATACCAGTGCACCTAGCTCATCATTGATAACTTAAGCAAGATGATTTTTGGTGTGTGCTAATGGCATCAGACACCACCATGTTGGAGTAATTTGAATAGTAAATAGGAAAAGAAGCATATTTACTTCAGATGCTTTTTTTTTTTTTTTTTAAACTATTTAGCAGAAGAGTGGTAGAGTAAGGTTAATAATTTTTTTATTCAGGTTGAAAGATTCTGGAACGTACTTTCTCTTTTTGGTAGTTGGACACAATACCTTTATTTTATTTATTTTTATATGCTGCTGAGGATTGAACCCAGGGCCTCACAGGTATTAGGTGAGTGCCCTGGAACATACTTTTTTTTTTAAATGGTAATGACTTCAAGATGAGAATTTGTATAGTACAGAATCAGAAAATATGAAAACAAGTTAGCAAATTGACTGAGATGCAGAATACATCTGGTGGGTTTAATAGAAAGGAGAACAACCAAGAGGATAGCTTACAGTATTAGTAGATTATAGATTGGGTGGCAGGAAAATGAGGAAAGGCTTCCTATTTAAAGCCTATATCTTCTTGGTTCAGTATAAGGCACAATCATTCACAAAGAAGGGAATTTGGAAGCAGTAGGGAAATGATGATGAATAATTATGGAAATAGGAGAGATTTACTAGAAAAACAGGATTGTTAGGTATGATACTCAATGTTATTAGCCCTCAAATATCCATCAATTGATGAATGGATAATTAAAACGTGGTAAAATCTATTGCATAGTAAGGCCATCCATACAGCCGAAGTGACTGAGGATGTCCTTAGTCACTGGTTCTTAGGACCATGCCAGGAAGATTTCAGAGGAGTCACTCAAGAGTAGTAGACATGAGTTTATTAGAACGGACAGGAAAAGGGAACACTATTAAGGAAGAGAGTAGGAGAGGATAGGGATAGCATGCCCCTATTGCCCTCTTTTTTTTTTTTTGGATACCAAGGATTGAACTCGGGGGGCACTCAACCACTGGGCCACATCTCCAGCCCTTTTTTGTATTTTATTTAGAGATGGTCTTACTGAGTTCCTTAGTGCCTCCCCATTGCTCAGGCTGGACTCGCAATCCTCCTGCCTCAACCTCCCAAGTCATTGGGATTACAGGCATGCACCTCCACGCCCAAAGTATTGCCCTCTTTTATTGGGGATCCCAGGGGAATTTCCAGAGAGTCCCACTCAGACATCTTACAGCAGATTTAAAAAACCCACTGTGCATGGTCTTACCCCATGGAGGGGAGATTTTACTATTAGGATTATGTGCTAAGATCCAAGGCAACCCTGCGTTACTTTGGACCACACTGACCAGTTCTAGTTGAAACTCATTCTTACAAATTTTATTGTTGGACTTTTCTTCTAATTATCCTATCTCCATGAGTCCTGGAATCTGGTCTGCATAAAGGTCATGAAGGCTCCCCCATTCAGGATAACTTGTGTTGTTCTTATCGGCAGGGAGGAACCTTTTGGGCCTGCATTTCTCCTGCTGATAACAGGTTGTTTCCTGAGGAATGTAACATGTCCTATTGACTTAAGCCAGGGCAGGGCCACAGGTAAATTGCTTTTTAAAGGAAAGCATGTGGGAGTTAGCACAGTAAACCTAGTTTATAGAATTATTGCCTTAATCTCATGTTTCTGCCATTCACTTCTATCTCTTGCCTATTAATATCCATACAATAGAATTTTATTTGGCAATAAAAAGAAACATACTGATACAAGTTACAACATAATTAAGCTTTGAAAACATGTTCAGTGAAGCCAGTCACAAAAGGTCATGTGTTGTATGATTCTATTGATAAAAAATGTTCAGAATAGGCATATCTTTAGAAATGAGTAGACTAGTTGTTGCCTAGAGCCATGGAAAGGTAGGGAAGAAGAATTTTGGGAAAGTAGCCAACAAGTAATGAAAGTGTCCTAAAATTGATTGTGATGGTTGTACAACTTTGAATATACTAAAGATCTTTGGATTTATACTTTAAATAAATGAGTTGTAGGGTATGTAAATTATATCTCAATAAAGAGGTTTTATTTCTTCTCCAAGTATTTATTTCTTATAGGAAATTGTGAAAATACAGAATAGTAGTTTGGGGGAGGATGATAAAAATAGCTCTTAACTCTACCACTTAGTCCCTTGTATATTTGGTTTATCTTTTTGTAGACTTTATTGTATTCTTTTTATTTAATTATATGGTAAGCTATCTTTAGATAACAACCTTACTTTGCTAATTTTGTTTTGTTTCTTTCTTCCCAGAGCCAAATGTTCTAGCTGGCACTTTAGTTGCTCATACAGATGCAGTCTGGGGTCTTGCTTATAGTGGCATAAAAAATCAGTTACTGTCTTGTTCAGCAGATGGCACTGTTAGGTTATGGAATCCACAAGAAAAATTGCCATGTATTTGCACTTACAATGGAGACAAGGGTGAGTAAATTTTGTCTGTCTAAAACAAAATAAAAAGAGCTGAGATGTGGTTCAGTGATAGAAGGTCTCTGGGTTCAATCCCTACTACCAGGGAAGGGCAGGGATGGGAGCAGGAAATTGTGATATAAAAAGGACAAAGCAATTGATTGGTTACTTCTGTATTTCCCCAAAGAGAGATGTTAAAAGAATTTCATAAAACTTAGGATAATCTTTTTACTTGGTTATTTTTTACTTGATGTGATTTACAAATATGAATTGTAGCTTAGTGCTTTTTTACTTCTTTCAGATCGTGTTCCGTTTTAAAATTAAATGGGACTAGGGATATAGCTTGGCCATGGAGTGCTTGCCCATGACTCTGAGCACACAGGTTATGAGTCTAGCCATAATCACTGAAATAGTACCTTTAACCAGGTACAAATTAAGTTGCTTTCATGATACCAGATTTTTTTCTTATTAAAGAAGGCTTTAGGGCTGGAGTTGTATGTTGATAGAGCACTTGCCTAACATGTGAGGCACTGGGTTCAATTCTCAGTACTACATATAAATAAAAAGATCCATTGACAAAAAAAAAAAATATATATATATATATAAAAAAAATAAGGCTTTAGCCAGTACCTTTTAAAGACATTTGCTTATGTGTTGGCTGGGGTTGTGGCTCAGTGGTAGAGCACTCACCTAGCACACATGGGACTCTGGGTTCGATCCTCAGCACTACATAAAGATAAATAAATAAAACAAAGGTATTGTGTCCAACTACAACTAAAAAATAAATATTTTTTTAAGACATTTGCTTATGTGTGTGTGTGTGTATATGGGAGAAAGAGAGAGAGAGAGAGAATATGTTTTTATTGGTCTTATTTTCTGAGCCATTTTTAAATTTTGGGTTTTTTTTTTTTTTAATCAGACCTTTTCTTTAAATATAATTTTAGAACATCTTAGATGAATAGTAAATATATTTAATTTTGCATCTTTTAATTGTTGATGGACTTTATTTATTAATTTATTTACATGCGGTGCTGAGAATTGAACCCAGTGCCTCACATGCTAGGCAAGCACTCTACCACTGAGCTACAACCCTAGCCCTTTGAGTCTTTTTTATATGGTTCTCCTAGTTTTTCAGTTACTCAGGCTTTACAGGTAAAAGTTTATTTAGTTATTTGTTTCTTGCTTCATTCACATAATTGATGGCTAGACTCCGGATTGTACCAAATTGGATGTTGATATGGCTAGATGAATTTTAATATGTTAAAAGGAGAAATTGCCAGGCTGGGGCTGTAGCTCAGTGGTAGGGTACTTTCCTTGCACGTGTGAGGTATTTTGGATTCGATCCTCAGCACCACGTAAAAATAAATAAATAAAGATATTGTACCAGCTACAACTAAAAAATTAAAAAAAAAAAAGAGAGAGAGAGGGAAAGATTGCTGCTCAGGATACTACTATCATGCTACTATCATGTCAGTGTCTTCCAGAGTCCAAGCTTCATTTTTATAGACAGAAAAATTTGACTTGTATTAGCTACTTTTTTAAGGCTTACAGATTTGACAGGTGACCCAAGATAATGATCCAAAAAATGCCAATTTTATTTTTCCCTAAGAAAATTAGAAAGTGGACCAAAAACTTAGCCTTCCTACCTTAGAAGGAAATGCATAAGAAACTGCTAATTTTTGCATATGCCTGTTCTTTAGGTGTGTTTTTTCTTTTAATATTGAATGTTATAAATAAAAACTTATTAAATAGGGCTGGGATTGTGGTAGAGTGCTTGGCTAGCAAGTGTGAAGCACTGGGTTCAATCCTCAGTGCCTCCTATAAATAAATAGATAGGTAAATAAATAAATAGATAGGCCTATTAAATGAATGAGGAATGGTTGCTTTTTAACTATTCTTACACAGTTAACTTTCATTATTACATTTCTTCAAAATATTTTAATTCCTTTTTCTTATTAGAAAAGTGGGAATTTCAAAAATACTGTGTTACTTTATATCTTTTGGGGCTTCTTTACAGAACATGGAATACCTACATCTGTTGACTTTATTGGCTGTGATCCAGCTCATATGGTGACCTCTTTCAACACTGGTAGTGCAATAATTTATGATTTAGAAACATCACAGTCATTGGTGATGCTTTCATCACAGGTAGATTCTGGTAAGTTTTTCGTGACTTTCTTTGAAACCTTAGAAAGGATTTTTATCCAAGAGGTTAATCTTTCAGTTAGTTTTAATATTTTGATTACCTAGGTTTAGGATAGAAAAATAGTTTTATTATGTTACTGTAGTACTTATTTACATTATTACAGAGGAGTGAGTAAAGTGAAGGTGAAAACAAAGGAAATAAATAGAAAGTAGAGAATATAATAAAACCTCATGTACTTGTCATCTAATTTCAGTTATTATAAATGGCCAGTACTGTAAATGTGGTATGTGATGTATGTTTTACAGTTTCTATAAGTAGGAATTCAAAGAAGGTCCATGTATTGTGATTGGTTGATAGGTTTCAGATGTCTTTTCACTTATAGATACCTCTACCTCTCTTCTATTTTCCTTATTTGCTGTATTAATTTTTTAATAGAAGGAATTAGACAGTTTTGTCAGGTTTCCCACAGAATGGATTTTGCTGGTTGCAACCCTATGGTATCATTTGTAGTATTCATTTTATTTCCTATAAATTGGTTATAGGTCCAGAGTTTTATTCAGATTCAGGTTCAGGTTTGGGTTTTTCTGTTAGTTTCTCTTTTTTACCTGTTTAGAAATTTTCTTGGCCAGACTTCAGATAATTTGTGAACTTTTTCAGATATAAATATTATTTGGTGGTTTATCTTTCTGTGATGTTTTTAGTCTTGATCATTGCCTGATCCATTTAATCATTAATTCTTGAAAAATGATTTTGTAATTCTGTCATCTCTTCTCATGCATTAGCTAGAATATTTCTATAATAAATATGATTTCCTCATCAATAATTTGGTTATCATCTTGAAGTTAGTGATTGTTACAGAAAAGCAAGATAAAGTGAGTTTTTCCCCCATTTTATTTACCAGTTTTCAAAATAACGAAGTGGTATTGTTTTTGGTATCATTATGATAACTCACAGGTATAAATGTATTTGTTATGTTTCAATTTCTTACAAGTGTTCTTAATGCTGTTCAAATTATGTCTTTTTGGCCAATGGGAGCTTATTCAGGTTGGCTCTTAAGTCTTCTGAATATGCGCCTGGTAGTTGTTGATAGCTCTTGCTTTTTGATATAATGAAAGATTCTAGGTTCATCTTGTTTGGTGACTCATGTCTGAGATCAGTATTTTTCTAGGGAGCTATGGCTCTTTTTAGTGGGAAATGGCATTTAGAAGATTACAGTCTGGATGCTAAAACTCTTTGCTTATCCTCATGGTCTTCATGAGGTTCATTATTTTAATCTTTTTCAGTGGACAGAGCTAGGAAACATGTTTTTTTACAAAAGTAAAATACTTCCAATTCAAATTTCTTGGTTCTCAACAAAATCATCATCATCTCATTTGATTTATCCCACAGCCTACATATAGTTGTCTAATAATACTGTCATCACCAATAATTTGATTACTGGTAATAGTTATCCTTAGGATTAGTTCACTAGGGACCATATTCCGCTATGGATATACAGTCTAATTACTGTGCTTTAGTATCTCTTCCACTAGTTCTTTCTTTCTGGTTGTACCATAGTTGGATAATTAAGATCATTTATTTAATCTTAAGTCGATTTTCTTAGTAAGTGCTTTTTAAAAGAAACAATTGCTTTTATCATTATATACTTACATGGTTCCATGGCCACATTTTAAACCAAGCTGTACTCATTCTCAGTGTCTCCTTAACTCTATTATTTCTCCCCCCCACTACACAGGTAAAATCCATGTATGTTTTAAATTTAGTATCTAAGAGTTCTTTTGTACATACACTATTTAAAGTCTAATAGTATTCATTCTGGTGAGACTTAAAAAACCATCATCCAACTTCTATTTGAAGCCTGGAAATTTAAAATATTGTTTGTCTCTATTTTCAGGTTTACAATCCATTAATCATATTAATAGAATAGTAAGTCATCCCACACTTCCTGTTACAATAACTGCTCATGAAGATAGACACATCAAATTTTTTGACAATAAAACGGGTAAGCAAGTTATCTTTTCATATTAATAGTACTGCAAATTTGAAGTAATTGAAAATGCTGTTCTTTTATATGTTGAGTTTTGACTATGAAATTGCCAAGTTAAACTTTGGGGGTTTGTTTTTTGGTGTTTTTTTTTTTGGAGATATTAGTGTGTGCTAGGCAAGCACTCTTCCACTGAGCTAAACCCTTATCTCAACTATTTTTACTCAAGAATTCTGCTTTACTTAGCATGTAGCACACTTGAGTATGTTAAAATTTTATCCTTAAATAATACATACTGCCTTTCCTATCATGATTTCTTTCATGTCCTTTTAGATAAATATATAAGTCCTTTGAAATTTTTTTCCTTCATATTCTATTATGAATTAATTATAGCAGAAGACATCTCTTAAAACTATCAGTGGATTAAATGCTGGTATAGTGGATTTTTTTTTTTTTTGGTCAATTGTTTTTCTTGTTGTAAGGAAATATATTAGTTGTCTTGATGTCAAACCAAATCTTATTTTACTTACAGTGTGTATATATGTGTGGGGGGGTGGTGGATGTGTTTAAGGACTACTTTTTCATCTCTTATTACTAGGAATACTACATAAGATACTGTTTAATCTCTTTCTGGAAAGGTCTGACAGCTAGAGAAGCTATTATGAGAAAAGCTAAAACAAAGTATTAAAGGACTTAAATTAAGAAACATTGCAACCTTATTACAGAGCAAAAAAAAATTATCAAGGCAGGCAGCAAACTAGAAGTATAGGCTTCTCTTTGAAGGTTATATAGGACAGGGCAATAAGTTTCTGTCTTTAGAGTCTTGCAGAAGATCCTTTAGTTCAAATAACATTTCTATAGGCAGATTCCTTTTAACTCAGTAGAACAGGTTGGGAGCAGAGTGAATATTCACAGGTCTATATATTGCCAGGAAATAAAATTCACATTCGTGTGGATATTCTCAATTTAACATCTTATAAAAATAATTCTTTGAACCATTTTTATGAAGGTTAAATATGTCTTCCTTTATTATAAGAGCAGAGAAGTAATTTCCTTTGTGTTTCTAAAAAATAATTTTTATTAATGAAAATTTTCATGTCAAATGGGAGGTTCAGGGATTTTACAAAAAGCAAAAGGTGTGTCTCACAGTGGTTTTACTGGTAGAAAATAAGTAATCACTTTAACAAAATAAGAAGCATATATAGTTTTTCCACTTGTTTCCAATTTTTTTTCCTGTTTAATAATCTAGTACCTTATCTGTAGTGTGAAGATAATTGAAGCAGTGGGCTCCAAACAAAATATTTTAAGCTAAATCGACCATCCCTCACCATATACACATACCTTGAGTTTGATTTAACTATGAATTATCTTCAAATATAGTGTTTCTAAAAATACCTTCTTTGAAAATTTATAATTCATTAAAATATGGTCAACTAGCCTATCCACCATAACTAGTTGTAATAGAGTATTACTTAAAATGAAGAGTAATTTAGCTGAACTTTTTTTTATCTGGATCATAACAATTAATACTGTGAATGAGTTCATTAAGTAAGTGAATATATCATTTTAATCACCAAAATGCAGTGTTTTGTATTCTGTACTGCACTGGATGTAGCATTATGTACAAATGTGATTCCTTTCTGGGGGCTTAATGGTTGTCGAGGGGATAGTAGGAGACACACATTTATGTGTGTACACACATATACATGCATAAAGTGGGGATTTGAGCTTTGCCCTAAGGAATTGGTAGTTTTCATTTTTAAATGAAGAAAATAGTAAGAAATTCCAGATAAAGGGATATTTTGAGCAGAGGCACAGTGATAGGAACTTGTACTGGAACAGAACGTTCTTTCTTTTGGGGGTGGGTGGGTACTGGGGATTGAACTAACTGGCACTTGACCACTAAGCCACATCCCCAGCCCTATTTTGTATTTTATTAGAGACAGAGTCTCACTGAGTTGCTTAGCGCCTTACTTTTGCTGGGGCTGGCTTTGAACTCTCGATCTTCCTGTCTCAGCCTGCCAAGGTGGTAGGCTTACAAGTGTGGGCCACTGTACCTGACCAGAAGGTTTTTTTTAAAGCAAAGCCAAAGAGGTAAGTTTAGAGGAGGATAATAGAATCTAATGAGGACTTAATTGGGTTTTTATTCATGCTGTGGGAACCACTAATATTACTTGAGGAATTGTTTGCAAAATTGGTATAGGAAGATTAATCAATGATTCTTGACCTGAACTTTCAGTTTCTACTGCTTATTCCAGAGAATCTTTCAGGGTCCATGATTTTTTAAAATTTTCGTTGGAAGCACAGATTCAAGTTGCCATACTGTGCCTGAAAGATTTAGGTAGTGAGTGATTCTGGAAGGAGGTACTGTACAAGTGAAGGATGTGAACAAATTGTAGAAAGGCGCTGAATTGATTGTAAACTCATTCATCTAGCAACATTTATTGAGTATCTGCCATATTCTGGTACAGTTACTGCTGTTTGGTGAACAAAACAGAAACAGCACTCCATCCTCTTGAGCTTACAGACTAGTGGCACAGTGCTTATTTCATGTGAGACATTGTTCTATTTGGTTTGCCTATATTAAATCATTTCCTTTTTTTTTTTTTTTTTTTTTTTTTAAGTACGGGGAAATTGAACCCAGGGACACTGACCTATATTTCTAGCGATTTTTATTTTTTATGGTCTTGTTAAGTTTTCCAGGCCTCCTCAGCCTCTTGAGTTGCTGGAATTACAGGCATATGCCACTACATTTGACTATATTTACTTTTTTAATACCTATAAAGTAAATACTATTATCCTCACTAATGATTTGTGCAGTGTTACACAACAGATAAAAATTGTGGGTTTGGGAATTCAAACTTCATTATTTATATATTTTATGTCATTCTTTATTTCCTTTCCATTTTGTAAAGGCCAACAATGTTTATTAGCCAGTGAAAGGGCTTAAGGTGCTTGGGAAAGAAGAATGGATGAATTGACTACATTTATCTATTTCTGCAGTTAATAAAACGAGGAAAACTTAGTTTTACTGGAGAAAAAGGTGTTAGCATTGGGATAGGGCCAGAGTAAAACAGGTTAATAGTGAAAAACTGCAGGTATGTGGTGGTGAAGGGAGGGATCCTAGTTATTAGAAGAGATCCAGAGCTTTATGTAGTCACTAGTAGATGCCCAGCATCAAATGCCTCCATACATGGTCCATCTGATGGGATTATTCACATTTTATGACTGTGACTATGTAGAAAAGAAGGTTGACTCTCAATTGGGGATTAATTTAGTGTACCAGAAGGAGGTCTAGAGATAAATTTGGAAAATTATAGCTCCCTTTAAGAAATGTATATATCTATAATGTTGAATAAAAGAAGTCTATGATTTAAGTTGTTAAATTTAAGAGAAACAAGATCATAGTTTCTTCTCTCTGAAGAGAGAAATCAGAACTAGATCAGTGAATTAAGAGTTAGCATCATAAATATGACATTTTAAGGGAATCTAATGATGCTTGATACTGCTAATGTTTTCACATTGTTGACTTGAAGGCCAATCCATTATATTCTGTGTTTTTTTTTTAATATATCTTTAGTTATAGATGGACACAATGCCTTTATTTTTATGTGGTGCTGAATATCGAACCCAGGGCCTCACACATGATAGGCAAGCACTCTGCCACTGAGCCACAACTTCAGCCCCTGTTTTTTTTTTTTTTTTTTTTACTCTTAAAAAAACAAAACAAAACATAGAAAGCCAATTTTTTAAAATAGTAATATTGAGACAAGGTGATAGATGAATTATGTTAGAGTAATAAATTGAAGATACTGTTAAATGATTTTTCTGTTTCTCAGGCTAGCACAATCTCTAAAATTAGACTGTTAATTAATTTTACTATTAATGAGAAACAGACAACTATAGATTGAAATGATGAGAGTTTTTTAATTCATTTTTTAGTTGTAGATAGACACAGTATCTTTATTTTTATTTATTTATTTTTATGTTGTACTGAGGATCAAACCCAGGGCCTCACGCATGCAAGGCAAGTGCTTTACCACTGAGCCACAACCCCAGCTTATGATGAGAGACTTTTTATTTTATTTATTTTTTTTTTTAAATATTTATTTATTTTTTTAGTTCTCGGTGGACACAACATCTTTGTTTGTATGTGGTGCTGAGGATCGAACCCGGGCCGCACGCATGACAGGCGAGCGCGCTACCGCTTGAGCCACATCCCCAGCCCGATGAGAGACTTTTTAAATACAGTCCTTGACTAATAACTTTTAGTATTGCCAGAAAATTATAGGCTTTTTATGTTGTTGGTTTTTTTTTTTTAAGAGTAAATTTTTGCACAATTATGTTGTGGTTTTGTGTTCTTTTCCGCTGTTATAGCCTGATGTTAAGAAACAAAAGTTGACTGTTTTCATGCCCCAGTGTATAATGTTCTAATGGTCCAGCAGCATAGCAAATGATTAGAATTTTGGCAAAGACCTCCTGTCTTTCATTAGGAGAATCCCAGACACTTGAGTAGTAGTAGACTTCTTGCTGAGTGAAAGGGGAGTAAATTTTTTGTTGTTGTTTTTATCAGTATTTGCTTTTTTATCCTCTTCTTGGATAAATCAATTTATGATGTTGCTTTCCATCAGGTAAAAGCATATATTGCCATTGCAGGATGTCCTTGTCTCAGAGTCTTTGTGCAGCAAGAATTCTGTATTCACAATTTGTTTTTTAAATTTCATCTTGTTGTTCAATCTATTTGCTTGCCAAATTTAGTGAAAATAAATTTTCCAGAGCAGTGGTTTTATTACTGTCTGGGGAAATTCAGAGGAATTTCTTGTGGTATACCTCATTCCTTCCTCCTTTCTTGTTTCAAATGTACAAAATAATTAGCATTTCAAAGGATAAATAAACTTGGTCTTTGGGTAGGAATATATCACCTTACTGAGAACCTAATTTGAATTTTAGTTTACACGATCTTTGTTTGTTTGTTTTTTAAGGTACTGGGAGTGCTTAACCACTGACCCACATCCCCAGCCTTTTTTATTATCTTTTTCATTTTGAAACAGGGTCTGCTAAGTTGCTGAGGCTGGCTTCGAACTTGCAGCCCTCTTCTGCCTCAGCCTTTGGAGTTGCTGGGATTATAGGCATGCTTCATACTGCCCATCTAGTTTACATGAACTTAAGTCTTTGCAACTTTGTTGTCATGTTTTCCATTGTCTCTCAGATTCTGTCAAATTCATGTCATACAGAAATCTTCTTAAAAAGTAAATACATTGGAAGTTTCTACATTAGAATTAAAATTCTCTTCAAAATAGTATTATTATAATAGATGTACCTTGAATATATTATATCTATTTATGTGAAGCTTCCAGAATAGGCCAGTCTCTAGAAAGAGCAGGTTAGTTTTGCCAGGTTTTGGAGGTAGGGGTTTGGAGAATTGAGCTGCTTAATGGTTACATACAGAATTTCCTTTTTAAGTGGTGAAAAGTTCTAAACTAGACAGTAGTTACGGTTGCGCACAGTGTGACTATTTTAAAAGCCACTGAATTGGACATTCTCAAATGGCTAAAATGGTAAATTTTATGATGTATATCTTTTAGTACAATAAAAAATGCTGGAGTCGGTTATTTTATGCTGATGCTGTTATAATTTTGGTATTTTTTTTTTTGAAAGCTTAATCTTCTTTGATATGTTTTATTTAGGTAAAATGATCCATTCTATGGTAGCTCATTTGGATGCTGTTACAAGTCTAGCAGTAGATCCTAATGGAATCTATTTGATGTCGGGAAGTAAGTCTTGAATTTCTGTACTACTCACAGATTTTATAAAAAGAATTGTTACTCAGTAACAAGCTATAATTGTTCTTTTACAGGCCATGACTGTTCCATTAGATTATGGAATTTAGACAGCAAGACATGTGTACAAGAAATAACAGCTCACAGGAAGAAATTGGATGAGTCAATTTATGATGTTGCTTTCCATCCATCAAAAGCATATATTGCAAGTGCAGGAGCTGATGCCCTTGCCAAAGTATTTGTGTGAATCCACAAAAACTCACATCATGACAAAAGATTTGCTTGGACAGAAAAAGGGTCTGCATCACTGCCATCAGAAAGGTTATTGATATAACACTACATGTGTTCTGCCTGGTGAAGGCTATTTGGGGCAGGCATAAATTGGTAGAAATCACATCTTAATGTCAGGCTCATTAATTTAATTGTAATTACTGTATTTTGTGGGACATAAAGAAAAAGGACTCCAGTATTTGTGGCCTGTACTGGATATGAACTGAGCGTATGTCTGTTTTTTAGGTGTCTCTAAGCCAATGTGGAGTCTGATCTTTCAAAGACTTTTTTTTTTCCCCTAAAGGACTCTGTGTGCTGCCTTAGGGTTAGGAATGTGGTGCTCTTGTGGGGGAAAGTGAGCTCCAAGAGTAGCTTTTTTTCCATCTCTTAGTGATCTTTTGTTTATCAGTTGAATGCCACAGATTCCCTTTTGAACTTATTTTGCTTTAAAAAAAAAAAAAGAAGAAAAAGAAAATTTAACTTAAAATATTTTAGCATTAGTTGCACAAAATGTTTGGATAAAATTCTAGTTTTTATAAGTCTTTTTATATATTTAGCCTGTCACAACAGTGCTCAAGATTGTATTGAAGTTTTTCTGCATTATACAACCCTAAACACTGAGATCTCACTGACCAGCCACCCCCTTAACCACTTTCTTTCCTCCTTTTGCCTAATACAGCTCAGCTAAGTCCTTCCATAAAGATGCTAAATCACCTTCATCATTACATAAATGTCTTCATGAACAAAGGACTATTAAGTGTATTAAAATGAAACAGTGGGGTTTAGTACTCCAAAGGAACTCTTTAAAAAACTAATCTTGGCATCCTATCACTATGTGATATTTTGTACATCTTACTGTATTTACAAGTTTATTTATCAAGGATTATCCATCTTGCTAATGGCCTATTATTTATTTCACTTTTTGTTGGTCTTTATATCCTTTTATTAATGTGCTAAAGAAACCTGTATATCTATTTTGGAACTCCTTTGAATAGTCTAAAATAGACTAAAAATGGAATATTTTATAGTTTATGTTACAAAACAAGGTGTCCCCCCCGCCAAGATATATATCTTGGTTTACCATGATTCCAAACAAAATTATCTTGTTTAAAAATATTTGGAGTAAAATTTTATTTGCATTACAAATAGGATACAAAGTACTTCAATCAGGAAACAGAAATCTGCTGTGTTGGGACTAGTTTTCCCTGTTTTATTTTTTTAGATGTGCTTAATTTTATGGTGTAACTAAAGATTTTGTTTGTGTAATGCATGATTAAGACAATAAAGTATTTTTTCTAGTCTTCCAAAAAAAACTTTTCCGATCAGTTTGCAAGTTTTGATGAGTTTTGTAAGGGTTTTTGTTTTACAAACTATGAATCAGCAAATTTTTAAGATTGTACCACAAAGCAAACGTACAGCTGTTGAAAAATAATGTATATAAAATGCATATAATAAATATAAATTGTGTACCTGTATGTTACTGTTTGCTACATCATTTTGTGTTGAATAATAAAGTGCAATACTCTCCATAATTAAACTAGGAAATGGAGATGGTTTCTTAGTCCTTCATTTTTATGCTGTTATTTTTATACATTATTTTGCTCATTGGTATTCAATTAAGATTAGAACAGTGATGCTCTTAACTCCTTTTGAAGTATTTCACCCTATTTATTTGGTGATTTATAAAAACTATTAAAAGAAATTAGACCATTCCAAGTAACTAAAAAAAAAAAGTAGATGCAGTTTTAAATGATGTACTTAAACATCCTGTTCTTTATTTAATCTGAATTTCAATTAATGATGGTGTCCTGTCTAGCTATACCTGTTTCACCAAAAAACATTTGGCAAAGAATAAACTTTAAGAATAAACTTATTCATTACTTAAAGATTGTTCTTATAAATGAGATTAAGTATTAATATTCTGAAACTTTCCTTCAAAAAGTAATTATTTTACTTGAAAGGAACTACAAATGGATTTAGAAGGGGACACTAGAAAATTTACATGCAAAATCTATTTGAATGCCTGCTGCAAATGTTAAATTACATTGTGTGTGCATTGAGAAATTCCAGATAGAAATTTTAGTTTTTATCCTGAAACACTAAGACTTCTCAAAACCTTTGGAAAAAAAAAATATTTTTTTCTAAACTTGAACATTCAACTAATGAACAAATTCAACCAATGAATAAAGGGGCACTTTTCTCCTGACCACCTCCTGCCTCCTCTCTCCTCTCTCCTCTCTCCTCTCCCCTCTCCCCTCTCCCTTTCCCTCTCCCATCCCCTCTGTCTCCATCCCCCCCTCCCTCCCCCCCCCCCCCCCCCCCCCCCCCCCCCCTCTCCCTCCCCCCCTCCCTCCCCCCCTCCCTCCCCCTCTCCTCTTTAATCTCTTAAGTTTTTGCAAAGCTTGTATTGTTTCTGGCAGCTGTTTCAACCAATTGCTTTACTGCTTTAACTATAATGTGGTTATTTTCATTGCAATATATAAAAATTCACCTCTTTTGGAATGTATTAAAACTGTAATGGATAAAATCAGTATATGTTTATTTTTCTCTTACCTAATTTGGTTATGTTTCTTTATAATATTAAACATCTGAAAGAGACTAAAGGGATGCAAAAAGAATTGTCTTTTATTTGTGTGCTATTTGTGACATGGAAAATAACAGATTAGGTTATGAAGTAGGACTTTATACATAAGGTTTGAGGATATTTTTATATACAAACAATATGTTGACTTTGTCATTTAATCACATTCACCCTCTTTCATATTTGTATTTTCTTATTTCAAAACTGTTATCTACTGAAAACTAACAGTACATTAAAAGTTGTAAATGAGCTAGCATATTTGAAATTTAGACATGCCTGCTGAAGTTGAATTATAATGTTTTTAAAAATTTTTACTCCTTTTAGTTGTTAACCCTTTATCCTGATTGTTTACTCAGAGAAATTGATAGTTGCTTAAAGTTCTGATTTCTGCTCTTGCATGTTACCTCAGTAAAATATTCACTTCCCTGATTACTAAAAATTTTCTCCTTTATAGAATTAAAACACACACACACACACACACCTTTAAACAAGAATAACTAGAAGCTGTGGCTTCATTGAAGCTTAATTTTTAATTAAGGAAGGGTACTCCAGAATGAGAATTTGTGGTCTATGTACAGTTGAAAAACCATGTTAAGTTGAATTTTGATGATGATAAAATTCTTGTTAAATTAATCCATCATTTTCAGCTTTTTATAAAGGAAGAGGAAGGAAGTTATTGTCATCTCAACCTCCATTTTATCAAACATTTGTGTAATGTCAAAGGTAATTCAAGTTCTGCCATTTCGATTTACTGGAATATATTTTTCCAGCCAATTAAAGCCTTTTTCAGGTCAATTCTTTGATTGTACAGTTTCAGTTGGAATCTGGATCTGTTTGAAGTGGGGTGGGTATAGGGTTCACAAGGAGGAACAGAACCTATTTATGGAGAAGACAGCCAAGATGGGGTGATAGAACACCTCTGTCTGTGAGGGAAAGCCCTGATGAGCTAGTATACATTAATTTTGATATTCTCCTCTTGCATCAACTTAACAAACTAGCACTAGTTACAAAACATTTGTGTTGAAGCTACTACTCAGAAGCATGTGATAGTGCTTACTTAATCTGGCAATGCCTAAAACAGTAGGCATTCAGTAAATAATTATGAAAGAATATATATACTTGGTATCATTGCACATTGTGTTCTTTGTGTGTGTGTGTGTGTGTGTTAGGAATTGAACTCAAAGGTACTTTTACCACTGAGCTACATTCCCTAGTTTTTTGTTTTTTTTTCCCCCAGTTTTTAGATAGGCTTTCTCTAAGTTGCCCAGGCCTTCAATTTATGCAGCCTCCCATAGGCCCAGATACTATGGATACTATGTATTTAAAAAACAATTCAGATTGGTCTTTCCATGTAAATTAGTAAATATAGACTATTTACCATATCTTAGGGAGAAACACTTGGAATAATAAAAGGCAGCTTAGAATAAGTCACTAGCAATTTTATTAAGTATCCAAACTACAATACTTTTCCTGCAGTTTTGTTGTTTGAAATTTTTTTTCCAAAAACCTTACCAACTATTTTCTCAGTGCTTTGCTGTCTTTTAGAGTACGAGTCAATGTATCTCCACACATACAAAATTAAGTATATAAATAGAAAAATACCAAGCAATCCTGCTGTCTTGTTCAGTGTAATATTTTCAGTCATAAGTGACTATGAAAACACACAAAGAAGCTTGATACACAATTCCTAGCAATATAATCCATAATTGTAACTTTTTAGTATGAAGGAACAGCTATCTATATTGTTGATTGGTTTTAAGAAAATATCCACCTGGATCCAAATAGTTGAACTATGTTAAAAAGCTGGTTTCTATTGGTTTCTCTTTCATTTTCTTTATATAATTAATAGAAAATGATTAGAAAAGAAATGTTGCTTTTGATCTAGGTATCACATTCTTTTGATATTTGACATTTACATATCTAAACATTTAATAAACATTAAAACTTTTTAGAGATTTTAATCCATATCTCCTCTTCCTGAGTTTCTAAGGGCCATAGTTATGAAGAGGCAGCCAAGTGTTTTAAATAATTGTGAAGTCTAAATTGTAATCAGAAGGTAGTAGCTTTAAAAGGATGCTTATTTGTTTAGAACAGCTGTTGACATTTAATACAAGTATGCTATAATACTATACATACTATGCTAGTATGCTGTGATATTTCATTATTGGGAATACAGTTTATACATTAGATCCTCTTGTACTTTCTCTTTCAGTTGTCAAAATATCACCATTATTGCTGGGATTCTAAGAAATCTCTACAAATGCCTCTAATGATATCAGAAACAATTGGTTCTAATCCTGTGAACTCTCTTGTGAAGAAAGCATGTGACTCCTTTGGTTTAGAGGCCATATCTTTCAGGTCATCCAGGGGTGCCCAAGCCACACCAACAGAGAAGATGGTGATACCTGTAATGGAAATAATTTAATTAAAAGCCAGTCTAATAAATATGTACAGTTATCTATATGTTTGTGTATATATTCCATATATTGGTGTATAGTTGCAGAGAAAACTTCCTAGTAATTTCTGAAGAACTAAAGTTTCCTGTATCCAATCATTAGGTAAGTTTTAACAGTCTTTTTGATGAGATTGGTAAAACAGTATGGTCAAAACCAGAAATCTTCGTCATCAGTGTAATTTAGCACATTGACATTAATGATATGAGCACTGGTACAGAAAAAATATTTGACAAACTTCATGTCCATTCACAACACAAGAAGGAATAGAAGAAAACTTTCTTAATACATATTATCTCTTAAAAGATATCCTATAGGCTAGAGATGTAGCTCATGGTACAGTGCTGGCCTAGCATGTAGAAGCTCCTGAGTTTGATCTCCCAGCATCTCACAAAGTACACAAAAAAGTGAAAATTTCTCCTGAGATTGATGTGAGAAAGGCCTGCTATCATCACTTAAAATTAGTACATTGGAGTTCTGGCTGGCACCTTAAAGCATGAGAGAATGGCACAAGATAAGAAAATGGTGAATGTTTTCAAAGTTTACATTGGGGAACATTAACTAGTCTTCTGTAGATACCAACAATTTGTTTCCTGTATTTGTCTTGGTAGTTATATTGGCAAGCTGTCCAATCATCAGAAATTGCCAGTCTGTAATATGAAAGCAAAAATAGGGGGATGGGAGTGGGGATGTGGCTCAGTGGTAGAAAACTTCCCTGCATGTGAAGCCCTGGGTTCAATCCCTATTGCCCACCTCCAACACATACACACCAAAAAAGAAAAAAAAAAAAAATCGTGGTGATAAATTGCCAAAAAGGGGTTTCTATGAAACTGAAGTAATTTTGGTTTCATTGAAGCATTCCATCTACATTCCCTTGATTTATTATGGGGCTTTTAGTACAACTACATTTTGGTTAGGGTGATAATTATATTAGCTGAATTCACATGAATCCTAACATTGCCCTTAGAGTTTCTAGTTAATCCACTATTCAAGATTTAATTCCTTTTTTTAAAAATTTTTTTTAGTTGTAGATGGACACAATACTTTTACTTATTTTTATGTGGTGCTGAAGATTGAACCCAGTGCCTCACATGTGCAAAGCAAGCGCTCTGCATCTGAGCCACAACTCCAGCCCTAATTCCCTTTTTAAAAAATGTTATTCTAAATTGCTATACATGACAGCAGAATGCATTTCAATTCATAGTACACATATAGAGCACAATTTTTCGTGTCTATGGTTGTATACAGAGTAGAGTCACCCATTTGTGTCTTCATACTTAGGGTAATGATGTCCATTCCACCATCTTTCTTACCCTTATGTCCCCTTCCTCCCTTTTCCCCTATCTAAGGTTCCTTCATTCCTCCCATGCTCGCCTGCCCCATCCCCATTATGGATCAGCATTCTCATATCAGAAAACATTTGGTTTTTTGGGGTTGGCTTACTTAGCATAATATTCTCTCAACTCCATCCATTTACCTGCAAATGCCATGATTTTATTCTCTTGATGCTGAGTAAGTAGTATTCTATTGTGTGTGTGTGTGTGTGTGTGTGTGTGTGTGTATATATATATATATATATATATATATATATATATATGACTTTTTTTAATCCATTCATCTACTGAAGGGCATCTAGGTTGGGTCCACAATTTAGCTATTGTGAATTGTGCTGCTGTAAACATTGATGTGGCTGTGTCACTGTAGTATGCTGTTTTTAAGGCCTTTGGGTGTAAAATTCATATGCAGCAAAATGAAATTAAGCCCTTATCACTATGCATAAAAGTGGATCAAGGACCTAGGAATTAAACCAGAGACCCTGTGCCTAACAGAAGAAAAAGTAGGCCCAAACTTCCATCTTATCGGATTAGGCCCCTACTTCCTTAATAAGACTCCTGTATCTTAAGAAATAAAATTAATAAATGGGGTGGATTCAAACTAAAAGGCTTCTCAATTAAACAGGTGAATAGAGAGCCTACAGAATGGGAGCAAGTTTTTACCACCCGCACATCAGATAGAGCACTAATCTCTGAGATATGTAAAGAACTCAAAAATCTTAACACCAAAAAAACAAATAACCCAATCAATAAATGGGCCAACGAACTGAACAGACATGTCTCAGAAGATGATACACAATCAATTGACAAATATATGAAAAAAATGTTCAACATCTCTAGAAATTAGAGAAATGCAAATCAAAACTAAGATTTCATCTCCAGTCAGAATGGCAGCTATTAAGAATACAAACAACAATAAGTGTTGGCAAGGATGTGGGGGAAAATGCACACTCATACATTGCTGGTGGGACTGCAAAGTGGCAGCCAATATGGAAAGCAGTATGGAGATTCCTTGGAAGATTTCATTCTAATGTGTACAGTGATCACAGTTGCAAAGACGATATAAAGCAGGATTAGGGCTGGGGCTGTAGCTTAGTGGCAAAGCGCCTGCCTAGCATGCATGAGGCACGTATATACTTACACTTAGTTTAGGAAAAAATAAAGTTGTAACCCTAAAAGCCCAATCTGATTCCTGTTTTTTTGTGAGGAATAATTTTCATGAAATTTCAGTGTGGCCTAACCTCATCATAGGAAAGTTACACAGAAATTTAGTTCATTTTAGCCTGAATACAATCCTAAATTAGTTCAGTACACGAAGTTTGAGAAATGCCAACAGGAAGGTAAGTCTTCACTTGAACATAGGTTAGTTACTTATGTGTAAAAACTACTACTACAAAGGAGATGTATAGCTTAAATTGGATGTATCCATTCTCTGTACTGCTTCAGTATTCTCATAGATATACGAGTATACAATAAACATTAAGAGAGTTCCCAACATATAGAAAAGAGGGTTTAGTCATTAGGAATTGAAGGGAAAAGGAGGTACAGAAAAGTGTAGAAGAATGCAAGGCTGTTGATTCTCCCCTCCCAACTCATTTACTTACATCTCCACAAAGGGAATCCTAGCTTTTTTTTTTTTAATCCTCTTTGATCTCAGCAATGTATTAAAGTCTTAAGAAACATAGATCTTTTCCAAAAGTAATAATAAGGTTGGAGTGAGGAAAGTCCCTACCATTTTAAAACACAAGAGAGTGTGTTCATTAGCTCAAGAAGAAAATTTAGTTTAGATAGGATTGGGTTAAACTGTTTATTGGTGACCTTATCTTGGAAAAGTCATGCTGGACTGAAAATTTTAAAGACAAAAGTTTTAATAGTCACACAGTTGGCATGGTAAACAGTGATTATTTGGGGATATATTCCAAATTTGAGCCAAACATGAGCACCTGTAACTTAAGTCCTTAACACATGATGGTTCTCAAGACAGTTCTAATAATCCAGTAGGTTAGGAGTGTGCACTTAAGCCAGCATGCTTAGGTTCGAATCCTTGCATTGCCATACTTAACAGCTGTATCAGATTGTTTCCTTCTCTGTGGAATGAGATTAGTAGGGCTGCTCTGACAAATCAACTAATATTGGATCAAGTTCTTAGAACAATGACTGCTAGTACACTGCAGGTGTTTGTTCAATAAAATAAATACTTTCATTTACTCCCTAAATTCACAGAACCCCTCCTCAGTTCCCTTTCCATACAAAGGACAAGGATCTTACCTGCATCATGTGCAGCAGCAGCAGGACCTCGGACATCATCATAGGACTGCCCATCTGTGACAATTACCAGGAAGTTCTTGTTGGGACTGTCCCTCACAGGACCAAACACATTTCTCACAGTAAAGGAAATGGCATCACCAGTGGCCGTTCCACCACTCATATATCGGATGTTCCTAATAACAGCAAGGATATTCTCCTTGGTGTTATAATCAGTGAAACTGAATTCTGTGCGCTGATCGTAAGTGAACTGTACAGCAGCTATCTTGGCACCAATGTCTGAGATTTCAAAAGTCTTGGCTATGTTGGAAACAAATTCAAGCATCAGGCGGAAATTACTATCTCCAACGCTGCTGGAGCCATCAATTAGGAAGGCAATGTTCACTGAGTTATAACAGGTCTTGCTGCACATCATTTGCTCATGAGTACAGAGCTTCTGTACCAGAGGCTTTACATATTTTGTGGTGCCAAACCAGTTGGGCATATGGTAAGAGAAGAAGCCATTATTCCGACAGACAGCCTAATGGGGGAGACACATGAAAGATATCCAATGAGATCAAAACTTGTCTCTAAAAGTTTTGAAAATATTCAATCTTGGGTGTTCAAGAGTTAATCAGGGCCAGTCAGCACCCCATGCTTAAGGTGCAAAACTGAATCAATACAATCAGAACAGAAGATGTCCCTTACCCCCTTACCTTGTCAACAAATGCAACATCCTGAACCATCCCCAATTCTTCAGGGATAGGTTTGGCCACAGAAACTATAAATACATTGACTCCAAACTCTCTGGCCACAATGCCTGCTTCCTCAATGTCATCAGAAGGCCAACCATCAATAAACACCACCACCACTTTGGGGATCCCTTTTCTCACTCCATTATCAGCTGTGAAAAATTTCTGAGCAGTATGCTTCAAGGCTTTGCCTGGGTTTAAAAAGATGCAAACAGGCAGCATTTACCACTGCTCAAATGACATTTCTATTTCCCTGTGGCAACTTGTTACTATTAAGTTTAAGAACATATATGGAACTTGATTCTATAATAGCTGCCTCAACTGGAAAAGTTTAATTATACTTCAGGCCTATTTTTTGTCTTCACTACCCACATTACTACCCCCTTTACCTCCCAGAAGCCTCACATTTCCTTACCTCATGTCAATCACTAGTCAGAAACACAAAACTGACTCCTACTCCTGTCATGTGCTTTCTTGCCCGTTGGTGAATGACAGATGAGTACCTCTAAGAATCAGGAACAATAAGTTCTCTCTTCAGAGGGTCAATTGTCTAATTCTTTCTGCCACATCTGCATTCATTAGATAAGTCTGTTAATCTTTGCTTCTTTTTACCAGTATAGTGATATCCAGCCTATCTCATATAAAGATTATAAATGAATGTTTTAGGTTTTTTAAAATAAGAACTATCAATTAACACCTTGGTATATTTCCCATTATAAATTGAATATTTATCTCAGGTGATCAGATGCAGGTCTAGCTAAGATTCCAGTACCAGGAGGAAGAGTTTTACAACAGTTCATATAAAATGGCCTAACACTGTTTCACATGTCTGATCACTAATAACTCTTCTATATTACATCCTGGGTGTCCAAGTCTACTTACCTGTATTGGAATTACCTCCTCTGAAACCTACTTCCTTTATGGCAAACAAAACATCTTTGGCTGATGTGAAGTTTTTCAAATAAAACTCTATCTTGGGATGTTCACTATGATTTAAAAAAAAGATATTATCCAATAAGTATTGGGAATGTTGAGAAGGTAATAAGCCACATTAGATGCCTTAAAAAAAGTTTGTAAATCAGACAATACCCTTTGTGGTACTAGGGATTACACCCAGCAGCACTCTACCTGTGAGCTACATCCCCATTCCTTTTTAAGATTTAAAAAAAAAATTTTTTAGTTGTAGATGGACACAATACCTTTATTTTATTTGCTTATTTTTATGTGGTCCTGGGGATCAAACCCAGTGCCTCAAACATCCTAGGCAAGTGCTATATCACTGAGCGACAACCCCGGGCCCCACTCCTTTTTAATGAGACAGGGTCTTGCTAAATTGCCCAGGCTGGCCTCAAACTTTTGACCTCCTGCCTCAGCCTTCCTGAGTAGCTGAGATTATAGGCATGTGCCCCCTATGTTTCTGTTTTAATCCCACAGTATATAGTCAACTAAGACACTGCATCCTTTCTTGAATTTTTGAGGATATTTTAAAAATATAAGTACAATTTTTTTAGAGAGAGAGAGAATTTTTTAATATTTATTTTTTAGTTTTCTGTGGACACAACATCTTTGTTTGTATGTGGTGCTGAGAATCGAACCCGGGCCACACGCATGCCAGGCAAGCGCGCTACTGCTTGAGCCACATCCCCAGCCCCATAAGTACAATTTTTAAAATATGGCAAATATGATTGCTACATTGGGGGTTTATTCTGAGTAATAAACTGATACATATCACATGTACAATCTCATTTCATCTTAATTTAAAAGTAGATTATTATCCTGACTCTATAAGTGGAAAAACTTAGGTCAGAGCACTCAGGTAATTTGCCCAACAAAACATAGCTGCATTTTAAATTTAGGGGTTGTCTGGCTGGCTCCAGAGTTTATTCCAAGACAATATGAAGCACCTGAAATTGGGCTTGGCTCAGGGCACTGGGTTTAATGGAAGTCTGCATTTTTGGGCACCAGGTATCTGGGAAACAGCTGCAGGTGAGACTGGGTCTGCTCCAGTGAGGAAGCCTGGAAGCACTGAACAATCTTGGGTCTCGTACCCAGGTCTCTTCCATAGAGAGGGACAAGTTCAATGATACTAAGGCCAACATTTTTTTTAAATGGAAAAAGTTACAAGGAAATGAATTATATTATGACATTAACTTTTGCTTATAATAAATGATAATGATATTTGCTGATCTTAAAAGTATATGTATTGTGAGAGATTTTAATACAAAATAGCTGGGCATGGTAGCATGCAACTGTACGCCCAGCTGCTCAGAAAGCTGTATGAATCTTCTGAATCTTTTGAGTCCAGGACAGAGTGGAATCTTTTGAGTCTAGGACACAGTGGGTAATATAGTGAGACCCTGAATCAAGAAAAAAATAATATTAAAATTAATATTAAAAAATTGGGGGCTGGTAGAGCACTTGCTTGGCACATGTGAAGCACTGGGTTCAATCCTCAGCACCAACCACATAAAAATAAATAAATAAATAAATAAAGGCATTGTGTCTATCTAAAATTAAAAATATTTTTAAAAATTTCATTTCTCTGTGTGTGTGTGTCAAGTGCTCTAACACTGAGTTACATCCCCCTACTCTGTGTATATTAGAGACCATGTTGAGTAAATACAAAGTACAATTTATTATATTTCGGTTTTAGATCAGCAGTATTTCATAAGTGCAAAAGTTTAAGATCTCAGCATTATCAGTAGCTTAAGTCAAAACTTTTTAAGGGCTGGGCACAGTGGCGCACACCTGTGATCCCAGCAATCTCGAATTCAAAGCCAGCCTCAGCAACAGCAAGGCACTAAGCAACTCAATGAGATCCTGTCTCTAAATAAAATACAAAATAGGGCTGGAGATGTGGCTCAGTGGTCCAGTGCCCCTGAGTTTAATCCCCAGTACAAAAAAAAAAAAAAAAAAACCTTTTGAGGGACAAGAATAGCACTAATTATATTTCTGTATATCTGGTAGTTTGATTTCTGCACACCTGATAAAATGTTGGGTCACAAAATCAGATTTCATGGCTTGATAACCTTTTCACTTTTGTAGTTACTGTTCAACTATCCAAATTATGATTACGAGGTCAGTCATATTTTGCATCCTTAATGATACATTCTGTTCTTCAACTTAAATATAGACTATTGACACAGTTTTTCTAAAATTTCTTTCTGAAGTACAAAAGCTAGAAACCGGGAAGTTTATAAGAAGCTAGTCTTTGTGTCTACACAGTAGTGTAGCTTTCCCCTTAAAAACTAATTGGGTCAAATTAACCCAAAAAGTATAGGAAATGAACTGCATGGAATTGCCTGATGGGATATTAAACTGTACAATAAAACCGTTATAATAAAAACAATGTAAAAATGATGTAAGAATTAGCGTAAGAGCTTGGATGCCTATAATCCCAGCTAGTGGGGAGGCTGAGGCAGGAAAATCATAAGTTTGTGGCCAGTAACTTAGTGAGACTCTGTCTCAAACAAAAGAAAAGGAAAGGGAAAACAAAACAAAATAAAAAAAGATTTAGCATTTGGATCAAAGAAATAGACTTGCCCAGGGGCTGGGGTTGTGGCTCAGCGGTAGAGCGCTCGCCTAGCATGTGTGAGGCCCTGGGTTTGATCCTCAATACCACATATAAATAAATAAATAAATAAATAAATAAAATAAAGTTATTGTGTCAACTACAACTATATATATATATATATATATATATATATATATATATATATATTTTTTTTTTTTTTTTTTTAAGAAATAGACTTGCCCAAACTTGTACATAAAAATGATACCACAGTACTGGAAGTGTGGCTCAGTGGTCAAGTACTTGCCTAGTATGTGAAAGACCCTGTGTTCAATCCCCAGCACTATAAAAAGAAAAAGAAAAAATATACCACAAATAAAGGAATTAGGAGCTCTTTTTTTTTCTTTTTTGAGATGAAGGACAAATTATTAAATTGTATGAAAATTAACAGACATGGCTGGGTATGGCAGCTCACATCTGTAATCCCAGTGGCTCGGGAGGCTTACGCAGGAGGATGGAGACTTTAAAGCCAACCTCAGCAACTTAGCGAGGCTCTAAGCAACTCAGTGAGACCCTGTCTCTAAATAAAATACCTTAAAAAGGGGCTGGGGATGTGGCAGCTCAGTGGTTAAGTGCCCCTGAGTTCAATCCCTGATACAAAAAAAAAAAAAAAATCAACAGTCATCTCACACCAAACACACATGCATGCACACACAACTACATAATTAATTTAGTTTATCTAAATAAACTAAAAGTGAAGCCAATTATGAAAAATAACCTAACAAAATATGAGTTACTGTTTGCAATAGTACTGGTGACACCTTTATACGCTAATAGTAGTTTAAGTTGGTTCAACTTTCTAGAAAGCAATTCTATTTCAGAAACCTTCAAAATGTCAGAACTAACACGTAGAATTCTAGCCTAATGAAATCATCAGAGATGGACACAAGGATGAAGAAAGGATGCTCATCACAGTGTAGTGTTCAATGGTGAAAAAACAATAGCATGGTTAGGTAACTGTACAAAGGAATATTATGAAACATTTTTTTTTTGATGAATGCTTGTGATGAGAAAATGCTCAAAATACTGAGGGATGACAGGATACAAGACATTTTAAATGACCAACCTTTTTAAAAATTTATATATCAAAAATTTTCTTAAAGGAAACAGAAGTTTTTATAATGACTATCTCTGGGACCTATGATCTGAGAAATTTCAAGCTTGCTATAATGAGTATACTGTAATTCTAAAAGACATCATAACTATTATTTTAATATTAAAAGATCTCCAAACCAAGGGAATATAGAAAGAGCTAAGCAGAATAATGGCAGAATAGGAAAGAGAAATGGACAAATTATTGTTTCTTCCTTTTGAAAAGAGAAACTTGGAATTAAGCAGAGTAGATAGATGTGACTGGTGATTTATGTGAGCAACAAGACCTTTAAGCTCACCTTCTGGTCTTTATATATAGATAGCATATCATTTTCCAATCCTTTTGTTCCAAAAAGGAGGCACTCAGACCTAATAGTCTGCCCAGATGTTTTTCTTTCTTTTTATTTATTTATTTATTTTTGTTACTTTTGTTGCTTTGTTTGTTTTCTTTTTTTGCATTGCTGGGGATGGAATCCACAGCCTTGCACATGTTAGGCAAACACCTGCCCAGTCAGTCTTAAATTCTAAGTGTATAGTTTGAAAATTCAGCTTGTCCACAACTCAGTATGTTTACATGGAGCTCATGATTGTATCAGAATGATAATTCATCATCATTCAAGATATCAGTCACCTCCGTTTTAAACAAGTTGGTACCTGGCTTGAACAAGACCCACGTGTGGTCCCTCTGTTCCAATTCCCAACATCAGAGCCACTTTCCCAACAAAATTCTTCTGTAAATTAAATCTGCGCTGCCCAATATTAAAGCTTCCATCAATCAGAAAGGCGATGTCTGCTTTACAGTCTGTGGATAGTCAAACAAGTCCTTTTGTTAGCAGTCACAAGAGGAGGCAGGGGAAATGCTATTTACTCAAATGGATGTCTCATTCTTACCTTTATTGCCAGTTTTCTTCTCTGGTGTTTTCTTTAGTCGTTTGCCTAAAGTAAAGGGAACACTTAGAATAAGCAAAAGAAACTTTCAGAGCAAGAAGCTCACATGGGGGAAAAGCTCACAACAAAGAATGTCATTCTTGTAAAGACTTTTTTTTTTTTTTTAAGTTACTTGCCTCATGATTTCCTGGGCCAGGAAGCAATGCCCAACAAAGAAATAAGACAGGACTGTTATAGGCCTACATATTTGATGTATCTCTGATTCAAGAATTTGATATCTCAAACTTACAGTGGAGTCAGATTGGTAAATAAGAACCTAATTTTCTTAATGATTTTTAAAAATATCTTCGTTTTTATTTATTTTTGTATGTGGTGCTGAGGATTGACCCTAGGGCATCACCCATGCGAGGCAAGAGCTCTACAACTGAGCTACAACCTCAGGACCCTTAATTTATTTTATTTTATTATTATTATTTTTTTTACTTTAAAATGACTATAGTTTAGTGGGCTGGGGCTGGGGCTGGGGCTTAGCGGTAGCGCACTTGCCTGGCATGTGCGAGGCACTGAGTTCGATTCTCAGCACCACATATGCATAAATAAAATAAAGGTCTATCAACAACTAAAAATATATTTTTAAAAAATTTAAAAAAATAAAATGATTATAGTTTATAAAAGGGGATCCTGGCTTTTTTTTTTTCAGTACACACTAATTCCTTTTATTCATATGACAGTGCAGTAATTAAGGAATAAAGTAAATGAAACTAGAAATAAGTTCATGGTACTTTGACCATTTCCTAGGCATGGTCTGTCAGAAAAGGTAGGACTTCAAGAGAATGATTGGTAGTAGAGATGATAATTGAAAATATAAGAAGGGATCTGAAATACAAAATTTAATGTTTCTGTCTGCAATATGTCAGTAAACAGATTTTACTTTATAATATCAATCTTTAACATCACATTTTAAAAGGAAAGAGTCTACCAATAACACGTTTATTTGTAACTGCCAAATGCTCTGTCAGGCAACTAGGAGACAGGTTCCACATTTCATACCTGTTGATGGACGTGCCGTGGACACTGCCTGTCCTGTGGCTTCCTGAGCACCACTTTTGCCTTCTGTTAAGATAAAGAGAAGTCTATTTTTTCTTCCTTTTTAATATTAAAGCATTATAAATCTTATTTAGAATTCTGAATAATAAATACAACAGGGTGATGGTGATTAAGGACATAAACTGCATGCTAGTATCAGAGAACCAAAATGGATTCTTTTCTATCACATTTGAAAGGATCACAGTTTGAAGGGATTTGCAGTTTAGTGTCACACTGAGTTTTTTCGCATTCTGAATGCAGTCAATTCAAATTTGTATTGCCATTGTCTGAGAGCAAGATCATTCTTCCCCCATTCACCCAAGTTTGGAGGCTGGAGTGATATATGACCCTTCTGGTCTCCTGACTCTGTCCCATAGTTGAACTCTTCTTGACCACAGGTTTTTCTATCAGAATTAAAGAAGTTGGACTAAGAAACAGGAAACTTTTTGAGGGGGGAGGGGCATTGGGGGCAATATTTATAAGTGAGAACAATATAATTGTACCTACTAGTCACTGTGAAAGAAGCAGACCACCTGGAAAGCATCTGAGACTGGATGCCATTGGCATCTACAGAGGAATAGTTTTCTCGGCCAGGTAGGCTATAGATGCGTACAGGTCCTCCTGAGATGCTGATTACTCCCCTGCAACACGAGAGGAACAGTTGAGACGCCATCCACACCTTTTCAGGGCATCAGGCTGACATATAGTGCCCTGTTGCATCTATCACTCTGATTAATCAAGAAAACTATTCAGCAGGGAAATCGAGTGCTGCCAGTCTTTTAAAAACTTGCTTACACAGGAACAAAATCTGCCTGAGGAAATGGTTTTGTGCTGTTGAACTTCCTCAGTGTTGATGAGAATACGCTTGTAGGATCCTATTCCCTACCACTCAGAGACTGAGTTAATAAAACAATTTTCCTAAGTTACTCTAACTACATGATCTTGCACTGAATTTTTTTTTAAAGTGACCTATCGACTGCAGGATATTGTTTAACACTTGTAAAACAATAGTGACCTTGAGCAAAATTCTTGACAAACTGAGTTCAATTTTCTAAACTGTAAGATTGAGTAGAACTGTACCTGCCTTGTAGACTAGTGGCAAAGTTAAAATGATGGCTGGCACAGTGAAAGCTCCATAATACATGACATGATTAGAAATGTTTTAGAACCACAAAATCTAGCCATCAAAAAGTAATGCAGGGATGGGGCTGTAGCTCAGTGGTAGAGCATTTGCCACACAAGTGTGAAGCATTGGGTTTGATCCCTAGCACCACATAAAAAAATGAATTGATAAACAAAGATATTGTGTGTCCATCTACAGCTAAAAAATATTAACAAACAAACAAAGAGCTAACGCAATCTGCCGTTTGTTAGAAAGCTTCCTTTGTATATTTGGTGTTTCAGGAAACTTTAAAACTTTAAATATATCTATATTCTATGGCCAAAACTGGCACCAAATAAAGTGAGGGAGGAAAGAGGTCCAGATGCTTAAAGTGGGAAAGAAAATAATTTATGCTTGTATCCCCCTCTCCCCTGGTGTATGGGCTTACCTGTGGATAGCAGCCCCGCATATGCTTGATACAGAAGCATAAACTATGTTCCCAAACACAGAGAATTCCTCAGGAGGGCAGCCACCTGGGCAAAGGACATCTGCTTTCTCTTTCCTGATGTCCAAGCCTCTGGTAAAGCATGTGATAGCAATAGGAACTGAAGAAATAGGAGGGAATGTAATAAGCATCCTTGGGACTTCTTTGGGAGCAATGGTGGGGAACCAGCGCATGAGAGTTAAATTTTACTTCCCTAGTTTCTACACCATTGACACATGTACCATTTTACATCATTCCCAGATTTTAATAAGTGAAAAGTTGGTTTTCTAGTTTAATTTACTCCCCAGCCACTAGAGAAGTCTAATGTCATAATTTTCTCAGTTCTTAATCAGTTTGGAAATACACTGGATCTAGAAAATAGCATTATTCATTGAACATTTATTCATTCCAGAAACAGAAATCCAACTCTGAGGAAGTTATGTTCATGGTTGACATGATGTGTTGGTAGTGAATCCAAAATGAGCCTTTCTGGAACATTTTCATAGGTATATGTAAAATTCTCTCTAAGCTACCTTTCCCTTCACAGCAACATTTATCCAAGTTGCCCTATAAATAAAGAGCCTTAAAATCACAAGTTCCCTTAAATAAACCAGTAATATGATGCTTAGATTGACAGAATGTTATTTACTTCAATCATTTATTTTACAGATGAGAAAACTAAACCATGGGGTTAATTTGCCCAAGGAACATTCTACAACTTCCAAAAGACAGGACACAAGGAAGTTAGTCCCATCAGAATGGAGCATTTTTATCTTAATTGAACCTGATTATTTCTGCTCCAGATCTGTCCAAAGAAATATTTCAGGCAGTGAATGCATTTTTAGAAAGCACTGTTAATATGCTCAAGTTTTGCACTGTTAACCTGACTAATAAAGAATCAAAGTTTTTACTATAAAAGACACTAGGTAATATGTAACCCTCAGTAATACGTAACAAGATAACAATAAGAAATGTTAATTGGTCCATTTACTGTAGATATTAAATTGAGATTAACATTACTAAATGCATTTTCCAAACACAGGAAAATGGCCTCTAAAACTTTTTGAAACAGATTTTTCAAACAAACAAACTCTCCTTTTTCCAAGAGAGGAATACTGTCTGGTCACATTGCCCAATTGAGTAGCTTGCCTCTAACAAGGACCCTCTCTGTTTCCTCCGTGTTGAGCTGAACGTGTGGACTGGAAGAGAAGGAGAATGGCAGGTATACGCTGAGCTCAGAGCTCAGACCTCTAGAAAACTGCGAAGTTAAAATCCTTACCGAAAACAGGAGCCTCAAACCTATTATCAAACAGCCCCAATAGTATTTTCGGCTGGTAGGGACAATACTGGAATTTGGCGCAGAGACTGCCTTCACCTGCTAATGCGACTTTACTGGAGGAAGGAGTGAGAAATGCAGCCGGGTGCAATACTTAACCTCATTTCTACTTTCATGGAAAACAACAGATTTTAGAAAATACACGGAACCACACACTTCAATACCCAGACCTCTACACGTGAAACAGACTTTTTTTAGTCTTTCTCATATGCGAATGGGACCACAACTCTGCTTTTTCTAGGGATTACACCTGAAACACAGGTAGGAGGTAAATCAAGGTAGGATAACGACATGAGCCTCCCCGTCTCTCGGCTACGAAAACTTGAAGGTTTCTCTGGACCCCAAACGCAGCGGAACCGCCGGAACTAGTGTGCCCCTCAGTGGGGATCAACAGGTACCCCTGCTTGGACCTTTCCTGCTGGCGCTCTGGTCTGGAGCTCGGTGGGATGGGTGGGCATGGAGAGAGGCTTTCTTCTCTGAGCCAGGGGAAGAACGTCCTCACCGTACCCCCAGAGAGCCCCTCGCGCGGGAGAACAGGTAAGCCAGAGCAAATCCAAGGTCGGGGTGAATGCTGGCGAGCCAACTAGCGGCTCGAACCTTCGCGTCCTCTGCCTCTTCCCCTGGAGCCAAGGTGCAGGGGGGTCGATCTGATGATTCTCGGTTGACCCTCGGCTCCTCCGACCGCCAGGTCCGAGCCCTCCTTCCTTGACCCGGGAACCCACAACTCACCTGGTCCCTCGCTGCCCGCGGGTTCCGGCAGCAGCGTCAGACAGATACCTACGAAGAGAGGAAAGCGCGAGGACTGGCTCCGGCCTCCACCCCACTTGGCGCGAGGGGAAGCGGGGCGGTGAGGGACGCGTACCCACCGAGACAGAGAACTATGATCCAGGCTGCAGACATGGTGGTTGAGGGACTGTTCGGACCTGGGAGAGAGCAAGACTGTGAAGGAGGCTAGAGTGGGGGAAGGGGCCAGTGCCCAGCTCACGACGCCCGCCCGCCCCCTCCTCAGAGACGTCTTTCCCCTAGTAAACCCGGGGACCGCGGAGGATGGGAGGGGACCGCGGAGGATGGGAGGGGACCGACGAGCCGCTGCTCCCGGACCAGCCCCTCTAGATCTGAAGGCGGCACTGCGGCTGCAAATCGAGCCAAACCCAGAATCGATGTGCAACCCCAGATTGGGGTTGCGGGGTGGTGGGAGGGATGGCGCCAATATGAAGACAAACAGACAAGCTAGGAGCGACAAAGGAGAGGCAGGAACTTGCAAGCGCCACGGATCCCACCCGCGAGAGCCGGCCGCCCACAGTCCTGCACCTGCGTGGGATCCGCCCGGCTCCGCTCGAGTGCGGAAAGCGCAGCTCCCGCGGCCGCTATAAAGGCTGGGTCGCGCGCATGAGCACTGTGTGGGGGGCACGCTGGAGGGAGCTGGGAGCCGGTCCCCCGGGGCCGGACGGTGGCAGTCCAGCTCCTCCCTCACCCCCTTCCGGCCCCTGGGTGAGGCCGGCGCGGAGGCGCCTCCCACCCGCGGAGTGGATTTCGGCCACCTGGACGCGGCGTCTGATTGTCCCTAAGGGAGAAGAGAAGGTCCGGGTCAGAGTCCCGGGGGGCCCCGTGGGCCCGGTGGGACTTGGCGTCGGAGGGAGTGTGGGAGCGCAGCGGGAAGGGCACCTAGGGATGTGCGCTCAGGCCAGACGGCACCCGACGTGCAGGTTGTCCGACTTGCCTCAACCGCGCCGCGCAGCCCAGCGGGGGTCTCACCGCCGGCCTCCGCTGCCTCCACCCAGGCTGGAGATGACACTCCCCCACGCACAGTCCCAGACCTTGGGAGCCGCAGCATTGCCGGAACCAAGGCGGCTGAGGTAGCATAGGGCACGCTGCTGGCCTCCTAGACGCCTGGGCTCCGGAAGAAATAGTGGACCCTCTGGGCCTAAGAGCAGATCTTCCCACTTCGCGCTCTAAACTCCTGCTTCTAAAGTAAAACCAACCTGGATTTGGTGAACGCAGGTCCTGTATTTGTTAGAAAACCTGTCAACTGACTGGTTGTTCTTTGGAGATTCTGCGGGGACTCCAATTTTCCTCAGCAGTCTCCATTTACTGTAATGGATAGTAAGGCCTTCAGGCAGCAGTTACATTTGCCATTTCTTCTTCTTCTCTGGATGGGTAAAGTTATATCTGATTGCCTTTCCAAACTTCTAGGTCTGGTAGCGTGATTACACACTGTCTCATATTTGGTAATGGGTCATCCTCCCTTACTTCAATTCTGGGAGAAACAGCGGGATTCACAGGGAACTTGGTGACAGTCTGAGGAACTACCCCCCAAACCTGCATAATCACTTACTTCCTGGTACTACATCCTCCTAACCCCCAACGGCTTTATTTAGTTATTGTTTATTTGCCACAAATCCATCTATTTTAAGGATTTTTTAAAAAGGAAAGATTTTTAGTTTACAAAATCGTTTAGCCCTCAATATAATTCAATTTTAGAACATTACCACCGCCCCACAAATGATCCCTCCCAGTCACTGACAACCAATGCCTTTCTCCAATGCTAAACAACCACTCATCCAGCTTCTCTCCCTATAGATTTGCCTTTTTTTGGCATTTCATATAAATGGAATCATACACTGTGGGCTTCTTACATTGAGCATGTTTTTGAGGTTAATTCTTGCTGTAGTGCGTATGAATACTTCTTTCCTTTGTAATGCTTAATAGTGTTCCCTTCTCATTTTATATTGAGAAACTAATATACCACCATCACCTGGAAGTCAAAGAGTGCAGGATTTTTACAATCATCTTTTTAAAAAAAAAAAAATATATATATATATATATATATATATAGCTGTAGATGGACATAATACCTTTATCTATCTATCTATCTATCTATTTATTTATTTATTTTTATGTGGTTGGTGCTGAGGATCAAACCCAGTGCGTCACACGTGCTAGGTGAGCACTCTGCCACTGAGCCACAGCTACAGCCCACAACCATCTTTTTGATTGGAATGATTTGGTCTTTTTACCAGGCAACCAGAGTGTATTGATTTCATTCCTCTCACTATCACATAACATTTTGTGGGCTGGGAAGTTTTAATGCTTCTTTTCATGACTGCTTTAAAAAATTGGTCTCTTCCATGGTACAGAGAATTACTCTATTTTTAGAAATCCAGTAATCTGGCCACCATCCCATATGTTCCTTGGTTGAATTTTTTTTTTTTTTTTTTTTTTTTTAAATATTTATTTATTTTTTTTAGTTCTCGGCGGACATAACATCTTTGTTTGTATGTGGTGCTGAGGATCGAACCCGGGCCGCACGCATGCCAGGTGAGCGCGCTACCGCTTGAGCCACATCCCCAGCCCCATGAATTTTTCATTATTATTTGAGTGTTCTCAATCAGGATTGGATAATTTGGTCCAGTTAGCCTGGGCAAATTGTCATGGTGCTGTATAGTTAAGGAGAGGTCACATACAGAAAGAAACAAAACAAAACAAACAAACAAAAACTACAGCTACTGCACAGCTCAGCAGGCAAGTGCCCAACAGGCAAGTGCCCAACTGGCCAAAGTGATACGTTCTATTCAGAACCCCACAGAGCATAGGCAGCCCTCCTGTGATGTAATATCATTGAATGATTTGGCAGAGTCAAAACTATGCAGCTATTTCCATCATAGACCCTGAGACTGTGACTATTAAAAAATAAAGGAAATAGCTCATTGAATTTCATGGTTGTTTATCCCGAGAGTCATTTTAATTATTTTGTTTTGAAACATTTAAGGAAAGTTAGCTTTTATTTATTTATTTATTTTTCTTTTGGAAAGGCCAACCATGGAGGGCAGAGGAATGGGGAGAAGAGTTCTCATTTTCAGTTAGTTTGTACCTCATGCTCATCATAAGTATGTTGAGGAAAAATATTTGAATTTAAGAGGCAGTTACCTGCTTTGGAAACATCTGGAGAAAAGAGGAAAGTCAAATCTGGGTGTATTTGCCTGAAAAAGACAACCTGTTAAAATTATAGAAGTTTTAATTCAATTGTGTGACATTACAGTATATTATACTGCTAGGATGCCTGGATAGTTTATCCTCCTTTAAATTAAGTGTATTTTGGGGGTTGGGGTTGTGGCTCAATGGTAGAGCACTTGCCTTGCATATGTGAGGTACTGGGTTCGATTCTCAGCACTGCATATAAATAAATGAATAAAATAAAGGTCTGTCAAAAACTAAAAAAAATTTAAAAAAGAGCATTTGGTGTTCAAAATTTAGAATAACTCTGTAGAGCAGTTGATTTCTAGCTAGTCTGCACATTGGAACCACTAAAAAGGGCTAATGTCATGGTCCCACCCCAGAGATTCTATTGTAATTGGCCTAGGGTGGGACCAGAGCATGATGAGGTCACACCCCCCCCCACGTATTTTTTTTTATTGGTGCATTAAAGTTGCACATAATGATGGGATTTGTTATTACATATTCTTACATGCACACAATATACCAATGTAATCTGGCCAGTATCACTCCCTAGCACTTCCCCCTCCTTTTCCCACCTCCCACCTCTTGGTCCGTGCAGCAGTCTGGCTGGCTGGGCAAAATAACGGGGGTGGGGGGGGGCACGAGCAACTTGTGTACATTGATACAGCAGGAGTAGGAGCCATTTATTGTAGGACAGGAGCGGTATATATACATTCCACACAGCTTATCTTAATTAACATAAACTCGGTACAGCAGTCAACCAATAAGGAATCTCCACACTTAATGGCTCGCTGGCATTACTTCATAAACCACTCCCTCTGGCAAAATGCCAGGCGCCATCCAGACTTGTTTACAGACTCTAACAGGTCCGTTTCCTTTTCTGATCTCCCTTTAGTTTTCATGAGATACCTGCCCCCACCCCCGCTTTCTTTTTCTTTTTCCTCTCTGGCTTCCACATATGAGAGAAAATATATGACCCTTGACCACTTGAGTTTGGCTTATTTTGTTTCACATAATGGTCTCTAGTTAAATCCATTTTCCTATAAAACACACAATTTCATTTTTCTTTAAGGATGAGTAAAACTCTGTTGTGTACATATACCACATTTTCTTTATCCATTCATCTGTTGATGCACACCAAGGCTGATTCCATAGTTTGGCTCTTGTGAACTGTGCTGCTATATAAACATGGGTATACACGTATCATTGTAGTATGATGACTTTAATTCTTTAGGATAAATACCAAGGAGTGGTATTGCTGGGTCATATGGTGGTTTCATGCCTAGGCTTTTGAGGAAACTCCATACTGATTTCCACAGTGGTTGTACTAGTTTACCATCTCACCAAGAGTGTGAAAGTGTTCCTTTTCTTCCATATTCTCTCCAGCATTTATTATTATTTGTATTCTTATTTTATTTTATTTTTGGTACCAGGATAGAACCCAAAAATAAAATAAAATAAGTGGTTAACCACTGAGCAACATCCCAACACTTTTTATTTTATTTTATATGTCTTACTTGAGACAGGGTCTTGCTAAACTGGTTAGGTCCTCCCTAAATTGCTGAGGCTGGCTTTGAACTTGTGATCCTCCTGCCTCCACCTCCCGATCTGCTGGGATTATAAACGTGAGCTAAGGGCTCAGCTCATTATTTGTATTCCTGATGACTACTGTTCTGACTGGTGTGAGATGAAACCTCAGTATAGTTGTTTCCTCCTCCCCCTCCCCCTCCCCCTCCCCCTCCCCCTCCCCTCCCCCCCTCCCCTCCCCCCCCCCTCCCCTCCCCTCCCCTCCCCTCCCCTCCCCCTCCCCTCCCCCTCCCCTCCCCCTCCCCCTCCTTCTCCTTCTCCTTCTTCCCCAGGGATTGAACCCAGGAGCACTCAACCACTGAGCCACATCCCCAGCGCTATTTTGTATTTTATTTAGAGACAGGGTCTCACTGAGTTGCTTAGCACCTCGCTGTTGCTGAGGCTTTGAACTCTGGATCTTCCTGCCTCAGCATCCCTAGTTGCTAGGATTACAGTGTGCTACCACGCCCAGCTTGAGTTCTTTATATATTCTAGATGTTAATCCTCCATCAAAAGAGTAGCTAGCAAAGAATCTGTAAGTTCTCTTTTCTTGGTCCTAATTGCTTCCTTTGCTGTGCAGAAGCTTTTTAAGTTGATGCCATCCCTAACTCTTAGCATTATTTCATAACCTGTAGGAGTTTTATTTAGAAAGTCATAGCCTGTGTCTATATGCTGGAGTGTTGACCTTACAGTTTCTTCTAGGATTTGCATAGTTTCTGGTCTAATTTCTAGGTCTTTGATCTATTTTAAGTTTATTTCTGTGCAAAATGACAGAGAAGGTTCTAGTTTCATTCTTCTGCATAACCGGTTTTCCCAACACCATTTGTTAATAAAGCTATCTTTTCTCCAATCTATGTTTTTGGCACCTTTGTCAAAGAGCGTGATGAGGTTTTTAAACCTCTCCATGTAGTCCTAATG